TTGGTTGTGCTGCAGGCACCTCAATCCGGGAAAACATCCAGCATCATCGACTGCGATGGCTCGGTCATGTGCTACGCATGCCAAAACACCGTCTACCGAGACGAGTGTTGTTCTCCGTGCCTCTTTCAGGATGGCGCGAACCGCGAGGTGGACAGCACATGACTTAGCAGAAAGGCGTCAAAGAGATCACGAAGAGTTTGGGTGTTGTTGGTGTTGCACGACTCCCAGGATGGGATCCCCGTGATCCCATCTGTGCTTGGCTGGAGACGTTGCAAGAAATGGCGGCTAATCGATGTCAGTGGCGTTCGTGTTGTCAGTTTCTCTCCAGATTGTCTGATTGAGCGGTTGGAGGTGTAGGCACCTCAGAATGCTTGACATAGGCCAGCACTAGGTCCCCTCCCTCACCCAGTCTTTTTCTTTTCTCTTCTCTGTAGGGTTTTTAATACAATTATATATATATATATATATATATATATATATATATAACTAATCGAACTTTATGGTTGTACGGCAGTGAAGCATCAGTGCCAACACTGATGTTGCTGTCATTGATGATGATGATGATGTCTATACTCACCTTCTCAGCGTTGTTTCTATGTCTTGAAGTTGCCCGCCATGCGTTACTCTCAATCCTAGTTGCTATCCTTCCTGTGACAGTGCATCACTTGCACACGATGATCAAAGTTCGGCTTGTAGTCTGCTACTGTCTCTCCGTCTCAGTGGCGTAGTTACGTTCTAACACTCAATCAAATAGCGTCACCTTTGTTTTGGTTGTGAGTACACCTGGTCGTCGACCATATATCGTTGGTGTCCTTAAACCACTGCAGTAAGACACATTGTGATATAAAGGTCAATTCATTTGATCGCTCCAAATAGAGTCGCTGTGGAGTCACCTAAGTGTTTGATCTGGAGCGAAACCTTTCGCCTGTGAACTTCTTTGAATTGTGTGTTTTATCGTGCTTGGATTTTTCGTGCACCAAATCAAGTCAACTAGCGCTTGAAGAATCAAGTGTTACACTCGTTTTCTACGACCAACGATTGTGTATTATTTTGAACAGCGTCTAGTCAGGTATTTTGTCAAACGATCCATAAAGTTCTCACAGTAACCGTTCAGCTGTAGCGCCCTTTTGGTGACTTGCCACAAAAAGCAAGCACGAGGGCTAGGACGCTGCTAGGTTATCCAAGTATGGACTGGGGAATTCGAAATGCAGAGTTCGGGTTCGAACCATGAACCTTCCGGTCAGCAAATTAGCTCCCTAACTGCTGAGCCGTCTCCCTGTTGTTCGTGAATATGATTAACAATGTTTGTTCTTTGGGTAATTGTTTGCTTGTTTGATTGGTCTCACCAAATTTCCACTTTTTTGGTAGCAATAGCCGGGGTAACTGTGACCCAGCTACACCTTTGTTGACCTGAGATGCATTTTGGTACCAAGCAGTCCCCTTTTCGGAGCAACCAATATCGGAATTGGAAATGTTTCAATATACCCGTAACGTTCACCAGGCAAAACTGCGAGTTACAGCCGGAAGCCGATTGTGCAGAATAGCGAGACCAGTATTTGGACCTCAAATTCTGCGGCACTATTGTGATATGAGTAATCTGGGTACGGAAGCTGACCTCAGTCGTTCACGGTCGTGGCTTTAAACAGACAACTATTCAGGCGATTTACCCAACCGCACGTGGTAGCCACGGATTACAAACTGAGAGACTATGCGGCAGTCGGTTGGCTGATCAAGCTGAGAGCAGGAAGTGAGTGCAATCGATTACGCCGAATTGGACCAATCACAGGACAGGATAGACCTCTTGCTGAGCAGTTATTCTGACAGCACGGAGGTCGGGCAGAACCAGCGAGATGGGCGTAAGAGCGACAGGGCACGTGCGCACACACGTGAAGTCACAAGCGAGAGGCAGTACGATGGACACGGAAAGAAGTCCAACTCATATTTTGCGTAATTCAGATTGTAACAATACAATCCCCTAATACGGTATCATGGTATTAGGACGAATTTCACATGAATACAAATTGGAAGTTTGAGCAAAAGAAACCACAAACTGGAAGCCTGTAGTGAAAGACGACATAAAGCCTTCAGGAGATTGGCAGTGGTACCACCCAAGACTTCCCATTATTGTGGGTGGTTGCAGGACTTCACGTTCACTTCATTTTCGTTGTGGCACTCCTCCTGGTGTATTGGCACAACCCTTCTGGTGATTCCACACCAGAGGGAGGAAACACTGGACTCGAGCTTCGCACTCATTAGAGCCACGAGAGCCACTTGGCCGCGTTGAGGTCCAAACTCCACACATCAGATACGTGAAGCAAGCGTCTTATTACTACTCCACTAACACACGCTGGACGCACCTGAATTATCGTATGTCAACGGGCGAACGTGCTCAACTGGACTTTACGGCAACATCGTTTGTATCAAATTGGTCTATCCGATTGAATTGTTCCGCCGGAGTTTGGTGTGTGATTTTAGTGGATGCCCAAAAGTGTGAGACGGCACTCCCCGATGACCATTACCTGTGATTCTAACCACGAGGATTGTTCCTTCCTATTTTGCTATTGCTCTTATCTACGCTTGCGCAACCTAGTAGAGTTCCAGCTCTTATGGTTCTTACATACTGCTACCGGAATCGAGTAGTTTCTTTCGTTTTCGCCATATTAGCATGTCCCGTTGAGTGTCCCCAGGTTGACTTTACCACCATTCGGGCTCGTCTATCAACTTACAATATGTTCACCTTTCTCATACACAATAGAGCCCGGAAGGTCCTCATTGCACAGGCCGAAGCCGACGGGATCAGAGTTCGTGGCCAAGCTACCGCTGTGGCCATCCAAGCCCGAGGTAAAGCCGAAGCAGAGCGGATGCGATTACGTGCAGATGCCTATAATAAATACGGAGAAGCCGCAACTTTGAGTCTGATTTTGGACGCACTACCCAAAGTCGCTGCTGAAATCGCAGCCCCACTTGCCCGTACCAAAGAAATTGTTGTCATGGGCGGTGGTTGCGGTGAAGGGACGGCTGGAACGATTAACCACCTGACTAGCCTTGGTCGAGACTTTGCCACCATGATGGGGACTGTGCCACAGGCGATTCGTGCATTAACCGATGTGGACCTGACCAAGGTAAGCCGCTAGTTTGTGCTTCTGTTCGTATCAGTCTCCGAAGAAAGACCGTTTGCTGGAACCTTGAACCTTAAACTGGTAATGAACTTAGAATCTTCGCGCTTGCTTGTTCACGTTCTGGAAACTCGGCGTTTTGCGTCAGGATTCTCCCACGGCGAATGTCAGCTCCGCCGCCGGTACGAGCTGCATATGTGCTATGTTAAAACACCGGTGGCTGTCGTCATCAGGTGCGCAGGTAAGCTAGGATCCAGTTCCTTGTTCAAGGAACATTACAATCAATATCTGACCCTAACATAACTGGCTCGTCCTGTGTTAGGCTCTGTTCAAGGGCATCGTGAGATGTGGTCAATGTTAACTGAATGCTGTATGGTGTGTGGTTTCGGTACTCGCAGACAGCGCTTTAATCATTTTTATACTTTCCTTGGAAATGGTTTTGAACAAAACAGTAGTACCCTATTTAATGATAATAACGACCCTGCGAGTTCGTCTGTACTCACATTTATGTGTTCAAAAGCCGCACGGGTCCTTGCAGCTGCGACCGCACTCGGCACAGTACGACGCTATCGTGCGACCCGATTGCGTTCGATTAGTGAGATAACCTGGGGTGAGATGGCTCAGTGGTTGGAGCGCTAATCTACTGACCGGAAGGTACGTGGTTCGAACCCGACCTCTGCCTCTCGACTTCCCCTGCCTAGGCTTGGGTAACCTGGCAGTATCCCAGCCCTCGTGCTTCCTTTGGGTGGCATGGCAGCTAGGCACCGAAAGGGTGCTACAGCTAGGCGATTTTTTATTTATTATTCGGATAACACGTACCTTGGAGCTAATCAAAACTGTAAATAGTTTTACCATTAAGCTACGCGTCATCCAACAACAGATAACTTCAGGGGAGATAAACCTCCAAACACCAAACGATCCCATCCGGTGAACGTTTTTGGCCATACAGTAGGGAGTGTCGCCGGGAGTGTCGCTCCGGCCCTATTCGAAGATCTTCAAGAGACCACGAAATCGATACCTTTTTCTGAAAAGTCACTTCGTTGGGAACAATGACTTCATTGAGCCAAGACACTGCATCTGATTTGCTTATCCAATTGGGTGTTCGGGGGCGAAACTGAAGACAGCTTTAACTGAGGATAGCCGAACACAGATGGCACCCGCGATTCCATCACGTGACGCAGGCGAGGTGCCAAATATTGGAGGGAAATCCGGCCGTTATAGAAAAGTCAGATTCCTGAAAATGCGCGAAACCTACCGAGACACTCAAACTCCACCAAAATCTCAAAAGGGAAGCCGACGGTCATCCAGGCCAGTCAATCAATCAGTCACTTAGGGAACAGGCTAGATCAATGAAAAGTGCTATTCAAGGTAGCGCGAGGCCCCTTGTAACTGTCGCACCAGCCTTTTAGCAATGAAGCTGTTGTGTTCTTGTTGGCGCGTCCTGTTCTGACACCAAGGCTCTGAAACGGGAGACAGCAGTGAAACGTAACACATAGTATCATAGTTGTATGTGAAGTGGGGTACTGCCAGGGTGCCCAGACCTAGACCAAGGCCTTTGGCTCAAAAGCCTGACCACAAGGCAGCGATATTTGGTGGGAAATTCAAGCGCATTACCATTTTTAGGGAACGAGTGGCCTCATATTTTCCAACCCTTAACCTGGAGGGTCAGGAGACTGTGTTGGTCAAACCTTTAACCATTGACCAATATGGTGTGTGGACTCTGAGTGTCGCACGGCCACCACCCAGTGTAGCTCAATGGGTCACACAGAGGCACGCAAACTGTCGCACAGCGGTAGGGTTCACTCCTTCGTCCTGACGGAGGCCATTGCGTCACACGCTCCAGCAAAGTGTTAGGTAATTTTTACGGACCAACCGCTATGCGCGGCCTAAAAACGAGTGCACAAATTCCCAGCTATGACGCGAGCTAAACCACTTCTAGCGCAGAGGGATGGAGGAGAGCTTTTACTGCATTTACCAAAGGCTAAGGGTTGCTGGAGCAACCCAAAATATACATACTTTGAATGACCTTGGATAACGATGAATGCGTTAGCGCACAGTGCTACTGGCCAATAGGAGAGAAGCGCGGTCTTTTTGAAAAAATGTGCAACACGGCGGAAATGGCACCAAAATTCAAACTTCGAACATCCCCACATTGAGTTGGACTTGGAGCGAGACCGTTAACTATATCCTATCAGTGTAAACAAATCGTTCAGCTGTAACCTCCGGTTCCTAGCTGCCATTCCAGTCGAAGGAAGCACGAGGGCTGGGATACTGCCAGGTTGCCCAAGCCTGGACAAGGGAAGTCGAGATGCAGAGCTCGGGTTCGAACCACGGACCTTCCAGTCAGTGAATTCGCGTTCTAACTACTTGACCCATCTCGCCCCTTCTCTCAGTGTGCTTGGGAATATGCCCATTCACTAGTATGTATGGAGGTTGACACTGTAACAGAATGTTGACCAAGCGCGCCCGCATGCGTACAAATCCAGTGTGGCATGCTGACACGCAGACACCCACACTATCTCAAGCCAAAATCAATGCACAACCGGCCTTCCGCAGCATCCCAATATTGGTCCGTAAGGACCAGGTAACAATCGGGTTTAGTTCTGATCGAATTCTCTAACGAATTCCTCATTTGGTATTTATTTCGATTGTATAAGCCTGACCGGCTCGTCACTTGGTGATCCGAAGCAACCCCAAACCGGTGCGTAGCAGTCTTGCTCTGTCGTGGGTTCGGCGGTCTCCAGGTTCATTGTGCACTCCTTTTAACAGTGGTCTTTTTCGACTGTCGAGATGAACAATCAGCTGAACAGTGTTCTACCTCCACCACATTTTCAACCTTCGAAAAAAAGTCTTAATGAGTATGTTAGTGTCTTTTTCACTCTGGTAATTGAATAAGTAGAGAAAACTCGATTGCTTTTAGTCCAGTTCGAGAGACAAGTTGGAATGATTAATTAGTGATGTGACGGAAGGGAGCGAGGTGGTAATACCAGTTTTCTTATCGATCCTTGCCGTCAGCCATTCACAGTTTGCTATAACGGATTCAATTAGTTTGCTGGCATCTTTCCTCCGTAATGCAAATGACCCTAGCATCTATGCGAAGCGCATGCCAGCCCCGAACGGACCTGTATGGTTTGCTGGAATCTGACTTACAGCTCGCTTTGTGGTGGACGGTTTTTTTGTGTCACCTGCTTATATAGTGGTGGTAACGGGCTTTCATTCGCTCCCCTACACCTCCTTATCTCTGAAACCGGAGCCCTTTATTGGTTTTTAACCTGGACTGTCTGCGCTCGCTTTTCGCGGGAGTCTATCACAGTTGTCTTTACTATAATGGTCCTTACACCTTCTCGGTCAGATTGTGTTTCTTTCATCTTTTTTGGAACCACCGTCAACAAGTATCCTGCTCCGCCGTACTGTGTACGCCAGATGGACACGCGTGTTTACCACTATACACATTCCGGCTGGTACACATCGTAAGTAGGAGTAAACCTGTCGAAAGTGTATCATTACAGTAAAGCAGACGCTAAGAGGACGGATATTTACCTCAGGACCGAGGTTAACTGACACATTACCAATCTGGGTTATACGGAAGCTATGGCGTGGCGTGTGCTAGCGTCGGGCTAGCAGGCCAATTCGTTGGGCGAATTTCATTCGCACTCAATATTCGTGTATACGAAGGCGAATTGCGATAACCACTTCAGCCGCACAGCTCCAGACCTGTTTTTCGATACTTGGTGCACTTCCCGGAATGATGTGTCACGATGAATTAGATACCCTATGATCAACTGGATTGACTTGATCCGTACCTCTCAAAGTTCGCCACTTCCGGCATTATGCTTTGTCCAGTTCGACAAGTCCTGGACCGTGAAGCCTGCCTGGGTCACATCACGTGGATTGATAAACATCTGTAGAAGAGGCTTGCACTGGCAGTATGTCCTTAATATGCCAGCATCTAGAAAGTGGACCTACATCGAAGTTTGTCATCGTTGGACGTGGATTTCACAGATTTGCAAACGTTTCCGCTTCAGGCATCATCCATCAAGTCGCCCTCAAGAGAAAGCCTGCAACTTGTGCGAGATGTGATGATGATCAGCTGTTACACATTGATATCCAATCAACTTTATCAATTCTGTTGTTACAGAAGAACAACACTATTAAAATTCGAGTCCTGTCCAATCCGAGATGCCATGTTGTAGACTGTTCTCTGAACGGCGTCTTTGGTCCGCAATGCGTCCAGAAAGTAGAGCAAAGTAGTTGATTCCTCTGTCTATGGTAAAATTCTCAATTGTGTTGGAGACAAAATTGATCTGGAGCTCTATGAAGAAAGTACTTTTTAACAGTAGTGTCGATGTATCAATGGTTGGTGCGCGAATTTACTGACAGGAAGGTGCGTGGTTCGAACCCGACCTCAACACCTCGACTTCCACTCTCTAGGCTTGGGCAACCTGGCAGTATCCCAGCCCTCGTGCTTCCTTCGGGTGGCATGGCAGCTAGGCACCGAAAGGGTCTATTGATTTTTACTGAGACCGTTATATCCTTCATGAAGTGATTGTGTCTAGGTTGAATCACAAAAATGTTTTCGATAATTGGGCCTACAATTAGCCCAGCAACTATCTGGTTTCTTTTGGCTATGGCATATCATTCAAAGGGAACTATACATTTACGGTGCATTTTAGTGTGAGTTCCTTCTGCTTAGCAGAACGTTCGATACGTCGGCAAGTCTTCTCACAATTGAACGAGGTTTAGTATTTGTAATGTATTGCACAGACTGTCATGATATAGGTCGGATTGGTTCGACTGGCTGTAGCAACAGTCGGGTGCATCGATATTCCAGCATAATGGACTTCAGGTAGTCCGTACAAATGTGGCATAATTGAGCCACGGAATTTCAAGTTTTCGTAAATATATCTGTCGAAGTTCAACCTTGGTCATTCGGTCCTTTCAAACGTATGGTCACTTGAATCCCTGTTCGTTCGGCTCGATGCCTCTGAATTCCATCCATCTTTTGGCAAATTTTCACCGCCGCGTAACGTCTTTAAATAAAATGAGCGTTACCTGGTTCGGTCAGATTTTTTTATTTTGCCCAGACTTATTACGCATTAAACATTGTTATAATTGTCCTCAACACCCACAAGGTTTCCACTTCTCGTGTCAAACTGAGGTCAATTGTTTGCCTTATTCCCTGGCTGTTTATCCGATTGGTCGTGATTGGTTCCTATCGATCAGGTTAGCAAACCAAATTAGGTCGCCGCACTCCGAAAAGACCCTATTGAAGACAAACCATCCTACAATTACTCTCATGTGAATTTGGTTTTGACGGGAGACTCAACTCCAACAACTATTGTGGTAAAAGAGATTTCAGCAACTTCATGAGTAGTGTGTTAGGTCCGGAGAAATCAACATATTTCGGGTCAGCGATATATTCTGTCATGTTGGTCCCATTTCTGTCGCACTCAATCACTGGATCATTAATTTCGTAATTCAAATGACTTCATGTGATTTATTCGTTTGTGCATGAATTCCAATAGAATAATGGCAGTCGAATTCGATATGAAATCGAAAGGCCCTTGACTTTTAAGGTATGCCATTATTTGTGAGCTGCCCCAGATAGCAGATACACCATCCCCCAAAGTATAATTTCCATTGCTTGTTTTCGATGTCTGCGCAGGAGACAGTACGATTTCAACTTGAGTAGACTCGTGAAAGTCATGAGAAGAACAAAGATAGCGAACAAAGCTTGTTTTCTGTGATTGTTCCTCCTGGCTAATTTATGCTACCAGTAATCACGTGAAAAAGGTTAAAATAAGGGGTACATACACTTAATCAAATAGGAATCATAGGAGGGGGGTTGGACGAGGTCAATGGGCTACGGAGTCAAGTGACGCGAATATCAGACAGGCTTGTGGGACCGGATTTTCCGCAGACCAGTTCAAGTTCAGTGGTCGCGCAACTTTCTTTTGGATGCAAAGTTATGGGCCCAGCAGTCGGGTTTCAATCTCCTCTGCGATCGATGGTTGTCTGGATCAACCAGTCGTGATTGGTTCACAAGCACCCCGTATATGATAGTGAAGGGTTGCTCTCTGTCGATGACATGACTGGTTTCGGCCAAATGTGATGCAATCGCACTGGAGCCTGGTTTCTTCCAACTCCCAATCAGAGGCAAGATTAGCAGGTTAGCAGCCACATATGTCGTATCAACAGTGTTTCTAAGTCTTCTGATAATTATTTCAGCAGCGGAGTCACCTTTGCATGGGAGCCTCATGTAGACATTGTCTTATGTCTGGCGTTCGCGTCACTTACTTGATTCCGTGATCCATTGACTTACTCCTCATTCAAACCCACTTCCGTTGATTACTAGCCTTTTTCACGTGATTACTAGTTCCAAATAACTGTGATGTAGTAGTCAAGAGGAACAATCTCAGAAAGCAAGCTTTCTTGATTACCTTCGTTCTAATACTGATTTCACAATATTCAAATGTGCTGTTGTCAGCCCTTCTTATGCGGATTTTTAAAATTCATAGTTGTTGTAACGGGCGAGCGGTGTCTTCGAGTGACGCGTAATACCAGAACCTCCGGGAAGGCAAACAAAGTCGGAGCTGGGTTTCTATACGGTACTAATAATGTAAGACAAATTCACAAATTATACAAACCTCGACATCAGAGACCCATTCAAAACAAAGGGTATATTTGGACTACAAAAGCACTAACCAGAGGATCAAACAGGCTCCCACGTGCGACAGTCACACGTGCACAAAGTCGGCTACAAATGACCGGATGACCTCAAGGCCAAACGGGTGAACTGGAAAGGACAAACAAACGTCAGTTCATATACACACACTAAACACAAAAATTGGGGCGGGGGTTACAAATAGGGGCAGACTAAACGTGGGCAATTTCAGTTGTCAACGTAATGGATTATACAGTCGTTATAAGACTCGTTGGATGTTTTCGGTTGTGCTTTCTACTATGAAGGTTGCTCACAATTTGGTCTTGAAAGAATGCTACGATGAAGATGGAGTCAGTCAACAATATAGAGGAGAATGTTGCTAGCTCAGCAGCAACATAGATGGTCGTTGGTTCGTTCCCTGAGTTGGGCAGTTTGATTGCAAACACTTGATCACCAGTCAGCGTGGCATCATCAGTGGATTGTTTGGGGTGCGTAGCGGGGTGTGGCGACGTCACCACCACGCTCTCTAATAACGCATCGATGATATCACCTCGACTGGTGATGAAACGTTTGTAATCAAATTGCTCAGCTCACCCAACGGCCATCAGTTAAGACTGATGCTATCGTCACATCAATTTTTTTACCTACCTACCTACCTACCCTCGCATCGTTCGAGAATTGCTCTTTTTTGTTGCGAAAGTTTGCTAGCTCACTGCTGAGAATGCTGGGCTCAGAAACACACTAAGAATGTGGATTAACACAAGTTGACGGTTGGAACGGTGGTTCTTCGGCGGTTGCATCACTTGCTTCAAGGGATATTTAAATAGTTCATCTAAAATTAGCTCGCATTAACGCCTTTCTCACTCTTCTAATTTCAGACCATCGCACAAATCCCTGGAGCCCAGGTTGTCACCTAGACCACTCACTCGCGTAGAGGAGAGTTTGGACAACACCTCTCCTCACTTCCCACTTTCAATCGACAATCTCCGACTCCTTTCGGTTTCCACACTTGACTTCCTAATTTTCACATCATTTCGAGCGGGAGCGCCGTTTCGTCACCTATGGCTCATGTAAAAACCGCCTTAGCAAACCACCAAAATCCGATCGATTTTTCATTTTTTTTCTACCTTATCCCTCAATCATACCTACTACTGATTGGCTATAACTTTCTATTTGTTCACAACGCTTGTTTGCTCGCTTTCTTCCACCCTTTTCTATCCTTGTGTGTAACTTTCTATAGTCATGTGTATGCAATCCACTATGGCCATGCGCCATCGGTAATCTCAGGTCCGCGACGCCAGTTGCTAATTCCTTAGTCGTCTTACGCTGCTTTTGGTGATACTCCCCCCACCCCCGGAGTGTTGTTATTAGATGTCCTGATGGTTTGAATTGCATAATTATCCATTTTACCGATATGTAATATCCACAACACTATCCGTTTTTTGTTGCCGTGAATCCACCTCTTACGTGTATCATATCGTTATTTCAAGTGTAACCGGGGAAGCGTTGAAACCCTGGTGGGTGGTTGGAACTGCTCAGACAGTTCTCAACTGATCCACTAGGGATCATGTGTACCACGTAGTACTGAAAAGTAAGAAGGCCTTCGCTCCGGAGTTATTTATTAGGAAATGCCAACTGACCGGTTACAGACCATTGGACAGGGAAGCAAAACTCTCATTTGCATCTTATTCACAAAAACTGGACATCCATCTTCTCCTGAACGCGTCTTCTCGAACTTTCCTGGATATTCATTGACTCCAGTCATTCATTGCTCAAATCCAAGCAAATGTTACAAAGCGACTCCCCAAATTCCGCAACAGATCCCCTCTTCCCAATAGACCCAATGCGAAATTACAAGAACAACACATACTACTCGCGTGGCTCCCCAACAGTAGTATCACCGTTACAGTAGTATCGTGAATGACGAGGTCACGCTTCGGCCGTACACTGATCGTGACTGATTTTGAGATCAGTGTGTTTTGTATTCATTAGACTCGGGGGACAGAACCAAGGATTGGACCAAACCACTTATTTATTTTCCAAAATAATAAGTTCCTTTTGACAGCATTCTGGAGTGTCGACTTCCACGAAAGTCGTTTTCAAAACAGCCATATTCTTACGGTCATGCGGCACCAAAAATTTAGTCTCTGCATGCGTCGGTGCTATCTGCGTTCGGAGTGTCATAGCTATAGTCATATCGACAGCTTGATACCCCTAGAGAACTGGTGGCTGCATGGCACGTCGCCACGATTGAGCGAGCAATAAATATGAACCAACTGACAATTCAACGGGTATCACTCTCGGTATATTGTCCGTTTCACTGAATAGCACCGCTGTACATCACTCTATAACTGCATAATAACCACCCTGCTGAAAAGCCAGGATGGTCATGCGACAATCACGTGGTTTGGCTCATCTTCACGAATCTGTAGATGTAGGTGTTTCGAGATTCCGTCTGACTGTGTAATCTAGCACGGGATCATAATCATCGATGAAGCATTGTCTTCAGAACTAACTGCGTTCTTACCAGCGTGAACAGAGGCAACAGTTAGGCCAAATGACACTCCAACGAGAGTGAATGGGAATGGGGAAAAATAATTCTGTGAGGAATAGTATGGTCACTTACACGCATGCACAAACAACTTTAATCATTGTATTCGTGTTTGTGGGTTAGCGTTGCAGCCACTCAGTGTTTATTGAGTCAAATCGAATGGCTTCGACAGGCAGTCCTGAAATCTGAGAGCATAGCTTCTTTAACTCGATTCTTTCTTTGTCATCCTCATGTTTCCAGTAGCTTTCTAGCCAGATCAACTCGATACTCTTGAACAACTGAAACTTGTCGAAATCCATGAGTGAAACTGCTGTGCTTTGGGACACGTTAGGCCGATGGAAAGTGAAATGGGCATGATCAGAGTCAAGTTGTGTACTTCAGGAGAAACGGAAAATTTTAATTAGGGCTCCGTCGATAGCTGATAGCAAATGAGTTCACGACTGTCTTGCGGTTGGTGGCCTCCAACTCGATGTCAGCGTTTATTTTGGAAGTTTGTACAGGTCAGGAACAGGTGGTGCTGAGCACACAACTGAAGCAGCCGGTTCATACTATCCGTAGGTTGGGAACCGACCTTGAATCTGCCACCTATTTATGCTTTTTCCGGGCTTGCCCATGAACATGGGCGGGAAGTCATCAGAAAGTGAAAGAAACTCACCTGGGTTCCAGGTGGTTGCATTTATCAGGTGGGACAGTAAGTACACTGATGCTCACAAAACCTCCCCTAGTGTGACGCGTCCGCAACTTGCGCAGATCGACAGGGACGATCAGCCCCTTCCAAATGGCTCACTTGTCGCACCTCGGAGCCTCGCACGCCTATTTTCTATACCATTCTATCGAATTCCACGTCCTCCCATTCCATTAATTATATGGGATAACGGATGTTCCAAAGCCGATTTAAGTGCTAGCAGACATCCGATTCTTTTTTGGAGGGACCTTGAGGTTGTTGAAGGACTGGTAATTTCCCTCATGCTTCATGCGATGAATAGCTCAACAAAGTAGAGTCGATTCTCAACACGGTGCGAATAGTGAACAATGCACCGACAGACTCCACAGCACGTAAATTCACACAATCGCTTAAACGAGACTACTTTGGTACCATCGTGGAAAACGAGCCTCACAGACACTACCCAGACATTTCCTAATCGATTTCACTTCCCTCTGTCAAGTATGGAAGGTTACTGCCCTCAGCATATCTCGTGATCAGTGACTCGGCTTCCGCTGTACAACAACAGGTCATCCAGATTACGATGTCACTCTGGTTATTTTTTTCGAAAAACGACCGGTGACAATAAGACGAGATCGAACTGTGTAGGTACAAACACCGAAGTCAACGAGAACTTAGTCAACCTCTATGCTACTTTGGTAAGGCTGGCCATGCAATCACTTCACCTGTGTAACCTACGTATTTCATCAAAACAAACTTCACCACGGTTTCTGGACGTAAACACCAAAAAAACCAACCGTAAACAAAGGTGGTGTGTGACAGAAACTGATCAATACATTGCTTTTCGAAAAACATGTTGGACAGGGTTTCCACGTTGACAGCCGTACACTCATAGTGTCTGAAATAAAAGACAGTGATGCTTCAAGTACAGGGTCGAATGTCAACATCCGTCTGTGAGTTGTGCTATTTTTCGTACGAAGGTGCGAACTGAGCACCTCAGGAGGTGAATACTACCCGGTGAGTTATCTGTACGTAAAGTGAATCGCAGATTATAGAAAATAAGGGTCCGCGTGTCCTGAATGCGCTCATGAAAGAAGTTTGTAGCTAAGTGGAGGTTATTGTTCACACGAAAATGTAATGCTGAACCCCGTCATAATTTCACCGGCCGGATAAATAGCGCAAGCTTCACGGAACCTTTGGTGCTAACAAGACAGCTCAGAGGTTAAGGCAAATAGGGTACCGACTGGGTGGTTCGTGTCTCGGACCCAATCTCGAAATCTAAACCACTACTGTCTAGGCTTGGGCAACCTGGAAGTAGCTCAGCTCTCGTAGACGTGGTAGCTATGCACCAAAGACTTACTGCGACCCTTTTAGACGGGAGGACAGCTCTTGGAGTTTGTCACGGCGGATTGGTTGCCTGCTTCACTCAGCATTGTTTCTTATCCTTGGTAGTGTGTCGAAATATGGGTAGCTCGGGTGAACCTATTATTATTATTGACCAGGTGTTTGTTGATTTTTTGCCGAAATTGGCAAACGTTTCGTCACCATACGAGGAGACATCATCGGTGAGCAGTTCGGAAACCAATAGCCGAAAAGATGCACATATACAGGTCTAAATTCCAAAATAGTTTTGAAGCACTGATGACTTGGAAATTGTCTGTGCTTTAGACTTGACGCTACTCACTTGTCTGTTTGAGCCCTTCAATGGAAACCCCTATAAACCCGAAGAGACGCGTCACCTCAGTTTTGACCAGTTGACGAGTTGCGGGTGTCACTCAGGTTTCCGAGCGCAATTACGTTTTTCGGTAATGCAAGGATCTGGACATTGGTGGATTATTGTGTACCGGCACAGAAGTTTCCTCTTAGAAACGCCACCGGATTGGTGACGGGAACTCATGTCTAACATTGCGTTAGACTTTTAAATTTAAATCCTTTTTAAAGGGTAACTTGCGATTGGATACTGCGACAGACAGTCTTCTTTTATCCCAGTTCAACTTCTCAAGTTGCAATATATACACAGTCCGTACAGGCTGCAATCCGGTGTCCCAGTAAACAGCATAACCCGGACACAAATCTGAGAAGGCATCCAGCGAACGACGATCGCACACCAGGAGCGCGTCAACAGTAATTGCTAAATGGTTGGGAATTTCGTTCATGGTTAAACCGGTCTGTCGATTCCCTGTTTGACTAGTCACTTGGCCGGTCTGGCAGTCATTCTCCCCGTTACAGTGTTGACTAGCCTCTCAGGTGATTACTTCTCACGAAAAGGCTGGTGCGAATGGTGGAATGTTTTTAATTGAGAACACAACGGATGAGATTTCTACTCCAAACTCTCTGACGCAAAGATAGAGTGATCAAGTTTGGGAGATAGTTATTGTGTCCATGATTTAAATGGTTCCGTTTTCGATTTTCAATGGTTATATATTTCGGGAAAAGTTTGTCGGACGAGCCCAAGTCTCCATCTTCGCCCCCTGAAAATTTTTTGGCACTTGGTCGGTAGATGCCGAATAAATTTATCAAAAAAATCTAGAATTCATCAGGGTCCTAATTGGACAGGATGATATAAAATCCACGGGAAAAAAGCCAGCGTGAGGCAACTTCAGAAGACCATAGGGTTGTCCTATTAAAACAGTTTCCAATGACGAGGTCACCTCAATAACTCTATGAACTGCTTTCAGTGTTTTACCGATTGTGCGATGATTCAGTCTTGCTGTGTCACATCAGATATCCAATGGGTTTTTGAGCTGTAACCCTACGCACCATTGTACTTTCGACTCCTCTCAATCGGGCTGGAATTAGGATAACGAGTTACCCTGAATTGCTTAGACCATTTCTTCACTCACATGTGCAGCACCCAGTCCCGCCTCGTATGCGTTTTTCACCAGCTCTTTAGTATAGCCGCTGTGAGTTGATCCCCTGGGTGAAGTACGTGGTCTTTCCGACTAGGCCCGGGAATTGAATTCGAATGGAATCAGGCTGTAATCTTTAAACCCCATAAACAGAATAACCATAAAATCAGACGACCGTCCACCTTGTTGGGGAACAACGGCTACGAGACTGGTTGAACGTATCCAGGCATGAACCTGTTGGAATAACCTTTCTCTCTTCCGCTTTTTGGAATAGAGCATTTGAGAATATTGTGAACAAGACTACACTGTTGTGGATTCGACGTGGTTCGAACCTGAGAACTTGGTCTGTTCTCATGAATCTTCCACGTGATAAAAAAATCATTCAGCTGTAGCACCCTTTCGATGCCATTCCACACGAAGGAGGCAAGAGGACTGGGATACTGCCAGGTTGCCCAAGCCTAGACAGGGGAAGTCGAGAGGCAGAGGTTTGGCTCGAACCACAGACCTTCCGGTCAGTAAATTCGCGCTCTAACCACTTGGTCCATCTCGCCACCTACTATTTGATAATGAGCGCACCATTAATCCCACTCTCCGTAGACAAGTTTTTGACACAGGTAAACATTTCATTCGGTTGTATGTCACACGTACCAATTTCGTCCCATCCTTCGTATTTATCACAATTATTTCATCTTTCCCATACTGCATACTCGGAGGGACTGGGCCCTATAAAGGGAAAGTCCCGGCAGTCAATTCAGTTCTTGTGCAATCATTCGCCCCCTTATTTTTGCCTATTTCCATATCCACGTTTCTACTTTTGTTCAGACTTCAATGGGTGGCATTCTCGAACCTAATCGATTTATTGATCTGTCTTGCTCTTGCGAGGCATGAACACTTGATAACTTAGTAGTGTGCCATAGGCTGCCTGTTATAGCATTTTATGCTGAAAAAGAACTCAGATATTTAGAAACATTGGGATGGATTATAGTAACGCACTACTCATAAGGTTGCTGAAGATTTTCTCTCAGCAGCCTTATGATTACTGCATTACGAATATACATGTATCGCGATATCTCGAATATCGTAGCGACTAAACATGAAGCGGCCTGGTGCAGCTGATTCATCTTCATTGGAAATCATCAGCAGTGCGCATTTCGCCAGACTCCAGAGAGCTTCGTACCCGCTTGATTCCGGCTAGTGGTTGATAAGTTGACTGGTGGGCCACTAGTTGCTGAGCAGCAGTGTGATTAACTGTCACTTGGACATGACACATCGGCACTTATTCTTCAAAAACGGAAACCACATCACGTGGTCGCACGTTTTGACTGGCTCCTCGCGCAGTGGCTTCTCAGGCGAGTTTCACTCATCGGGCGAATTTTATTCTCCGTCTTAGCTACTTGTAGATAGTTGGTAGGGATATCTGGAAATTTTGGTGGAGATTTGGTATTGCAGGTGAAGCCAATCTCTGCTTTTCCAACACACACCGGATGAAGCAGCTGTGTCTAACGTCAAGGTACCACGCTACCCAGTGGATCAACCCTGCTCATATGGGACACAGGTGAACACAGTTTCAACAATTCATCATTCTTCTGATGAATTCCGGTAATCTTTTAAATTAGGGCATACTAGATAACTAATATGTGGTGGCGAGTTGTTTTCTCGAAATAAGGTAAGTTCGTTTGGTCAGTTTAAAAAAGGTATGCATCAAAATCATGAATGACAGGCGACGTCAAGATGACACTATCCGCCTACAAATTCCATCTTTAAAAACCTCTAAGCAGAATGGACTCAGGAATTCGCCTTACTCGAGATGAGTTAGCCACAATGTAGGTATTTCAGTTATCCGTCATTGTTACCCTTTGTTGTTTATCGATTTTTTGAAAATGCCACACTTCACCTGACCAACACCTATACACAAACACACACTCACCGTAATCGAATTCGTTTTATTTTGTTCATCATGGGGTTGTTTTTTAACGTCGGGGTGTATTTTGCCTCTTCTTTTCACAAAAAATGTTGCTGGGCCTTGTTGGCAATAACCGAGGCAACCGTCAGTTGAAAGCAGGATAATTCTGATATTGTCGAAACAGTTTAGCATCATGTGAACTGGTATACAGAAAAGTTTTTTTCCAACACACGAGGTTTACTGATTACGATATTTTGGTTATCAGTCTTCCCGTGATGTTTGTATTAGAATGATTATGAGAGGAATGACATATCGCTTGTGCGGATCATCACAAACACTGTTTGTTAAGCGATCCCCGTGAGCAACAGAGGGCATTTTAGCGGCGATGTTTGCAGCTATTGCTGATACATGATGTGTCGAGTTCTCCAGGTTAGGCTCGCAAAGATAGTGGCTTTAAGATGTCGAGGCTGATCGTGATTAACTACTTGTGTGTGATATGTGAGCCTGCGACGCCAATCCCATCCACAAAGGGTTGATTGCATTGCAAGGAGTGGAATGGATTTTTTATGCATAACCTTTCCATTCGTCCGGCTACGAAGATATTTACAGGAGAACAGGCGCATAGATGGCACTGAACGTCCAGACACACTCACTGTCACGGTTGACCTAACCCGGTGAACTTGACGCGCACACCCCAGCGCAATTCATTAGGTATATATCACACACTTAACACGCACTACAATATCCACTGATGTTCATGAACATCAGTTGCTAACCTCGTTAAGAGGTGATTCACCCAGTAATCTGTTGAGCACTGAGTGAGTTACCTGACGTTGGAGAGCATTCGTGACCAGTTCACTTGTGTCTGGCTTTGTATACCAACTCCAAGGGATAGAGACTATTTAGACAGACACCATTCCCGCAGACTGTTCAGAAAAAACAGCCATTTGAAAATCGAAAATTTTGATGCAGCTACTTAGTTGTGGTAAGTAGTGTACGTTCCATCCAGAAGTTGTCTGGGGTCAGGTGGTGACAAGGTCATTTCTCCTTCACTCTGAAGCATTTTCATTGTTGGATGCATCTTGGTAGCAGAAATCAGCCAATGCAGTTTGGAAAAATTGCCACAAAACGGCGCTGGCCACTGTGGGCGGAGAGGAGATCAACAGGTTCAGCGACATCGAAACTAAAATGAGGGCGCCTGCCTATTTTGCTTGAATTCTCCATTGAATTCTCGCTCGGGGAATGTGCCTGAACGAATGTGGGTAAATTTGTTGTTATCGTTGCCCTTTTTGTTTTTGTTGTTGTGGTCCTCACCTACTCGGTTTAGGACTCGATCGATCCACTCTGTTTTTAACTCCGTCCGGAGACAAAAACGAAATGGAACGACTCTAAGCTTCCCCAAGGTACGAAGAAGAGAAGAACAGGAGTTATTAGATTGTTCCGTAGGTGAACAAAGTTTCCTTTTCATGGAAAGTTATCACTGTTCGTTGGTACTTCCCCTTAGTCAACTAAAATTGTCTTATTCTTGAGTACAACTGAGTAAAATTCAACTTTCAGAAGGATGGACAAGTTGAACTACGTTTCGCTTTTAACCGAAAGATTACGTGATACACATAGAAGGCTGATATAAAGCCGGATTGCAGAATGACCTCGTCATCAAATTTGCCACGACGATTCAGTTATAGTGTATGCTTCCCATTAGGAGGACCAGCTCCGAACGTCACGGGAATGCATAACTGCCAATAAGAGCTTTTCGTTGAGATAGATTTCATTGGTTGTTCTTCACTCGCCCTTGACAGATGAGTTGTATTGTTGGTATCACTTTTGACAGTGATCAATATGGCAGCTGATTCGCATGTTCAGTGACTTTTTCTGGTTTGTTCAAGCGCACCAGACGATCAAGCGGCTATCCAGGCTGGGGTTCATAGTAAGAAGGCAATAGTGGACTGTGGTCCACTACACTTCCCAAAGTACAGTAAGAAGAAGGCAATAGGGGACTGTGGTCCACTACACTTCTCAAAGTATACCCGGAAAGAAGAGCTCGGAGTGAGGAGGTCCTGCCTGGTTTTTTCATTTTCGATCGTCAATTGTCCTCTTTGCCATCGAGATGATACCATTATTCCCTATCCAACAATTAGAGAACCACACTTTAGTTTTTACTGGTTATCTACTGGTCGCGTGCTCCAGTGACTGTCAGTGACAAGCTTGAGGCTAACTGTGATCACCAAATTGTAAATTCAACAAAATGCCAACCCATAACAGACAAAAAATAGCACAACGTAGCCTTTATAATCATCAGAACTCTAGGATGGAAGAATATGAAGGACAAGGCACCATATAATGGCTAGCATTTTGGTTTGCCTGATTCGTACATACCTGTGTTGTTTTTTGCAACATTATTTCTCATTTTTAAGTCCAGTAGCATAATCACAAAGGGATAAGCCATCCAGTTCCTCCAGTATTGTCTGAGGAGATCTACGGTACAAATGATCCGGTGAACGTACCACCATCTCCAAGGTTTGCCATCTGTTTTAGTCATTACTGTCAACATCATCATCATCATCATCATCATCATCATCATCATCATTATGGCCAGCATCAGCAGCGCCACGCAGAAACACGACCCGATCGTTCGGCTGTAGCACTCTTTCAGTATCCAGATGACATGCCACCAGAAGGAACCACGGCGGCCAGGTTACCTAAGCCTAGACAGGGGAAGTCATGATGCAGAGGTCGGGTTCAAACCACGGACATTTCGGTGAGTAAATTCGTGCTCTAACCACTGAACCATCTCGACTAAATCAAAGGATCATTCGAATTTGGGTTAGTTTCTACGGTTGGCTGGCCAACCTCTCGGAGAATGCCTCAAGAACCATGGTAACTGTGGATTTCAAGCCTTTCGGACATCGGTACCGAGAGAGCAACATAGGAATGAAACTCGTGCGCCTGACTAGACTCTGTTCACCTGAACAAGCTTCGTTAGCCAAATAGAGCCAAACAGAGCGCCAGAAACCGTCGTTTTCCGAGTGGAACAAAGTACCACGAAAATTGGAAACTGATTGTCGAAATTCTGAGAACCGATCTTTTGCGGAGAAAATCATGTACAGTTGAATTTTCTTAACAACTCATACAGTTGTATCCGGATTTCGGGCAAATCGGGAATAAATTGAATCCTTTTGGGGAGTTTAGCACTCGGCATATGCGTGCAAAACTGTTTTAAAAGACAGCTAATTCCCAAACGGCACTGAGGAAAGCGACCCAGAACACCCTGACGCCACCTCTCCCAATGTATCACTGAAAACTCACCTTACTCATCCCATGTCCAGCTTTCTGTGTCGAACCTCTCCACATTTTAACCTGGATGGGCATACAATAAAACGAAAATCTTCAACTGGAAACAACTTCAGGCTGGAGGTCTCGCGCACAAATACCAGATTCGTTGGAGCTGCGTCCTCCCTGGCAGTAAGCTGAGCTGCAACTCCGCTACTACAATCGGAACCCGTAAAAATCTGGAATCTACCGGTAAAAGGATAAGCACTTTTCACTTTGAAGTTGAATACTAGCAAACACGAACCAGGCAGTTACAAGCCATTCGACACGAAAGTAAATATTTCATCCGTACAGAGTTTTCGAAAAGTGAACATTCTCAAGCATCAACAATAAGGTTTGAATGAACCCTGACACAAGTTCTGCCTACAAGGGCCGGAAAAAATGCTTCCTGATGAGAGACTGGAAAGGGATACTGAAAACACATCAGTACGGGATGCCCGGCGAACAGAAGGAGGAACAGAATGTCCCTAGAAAACGGCTCCATCATGTTATCGCTCAAAAGGGAGCAGAATGACAGACGTCTACGACAGTCATTTAGTCAACTGTGCTGCGACTTTCTAAGTGCTCAACAGAACACGGCGAATGCTTACATAAGCCGAACCTGACGAATAACAAAACTCTGTGGTTACTTCCTCCCGGGAATAACTTTTCAATTTACTTGCGGTAGCGCAATCACTTGTGAGTTAGTGGATTGCTTTTAAACCTGGAGAGCTATTTAATGTGACAAGCTATGACAAAACAGTAACAGTATGTTGTGTTTTGTTGAAGCGGCGGTGATTTGACATTACACATTCAGTGTGTGTAGACAATTGTAATATGTGGTTAGCGTTGCCTTACTTGACAGTGAACCACATACAAAGCCTAAAGTAGCGAAATAACAGACTACTTTGTTTTTTTCGAGAAACTCACCTGAAACCTAGCTGACTCTCTCGTGTGTGATGTTTCTAGACAACTGAATGTGCTGCACCAGGCCGCCTCATGTTTCAGTCACTATGATATTCGACATATCGCGATACATGTATAACCGTAATGCACTACTTACAAGGTTGCTGAAAAATCCTCTACAACCCACGACCGGTTTCGTCCTTCTTGGGGCTCATCAGGTAGGCGTAGTCCCCGCGTTTCCATCACCCTAATGTTTTACTTGAAACCGGATTGCACGAAATTCGCGAATATACACTCATTTGCAAACTAGTTTGGTTTTCCGAGGGATCCACCTGAAACCCAGCTGAATCTTTCGGTTTTGATGAGCCCCAAGAAGGCGAAACCGGTCGTGGGCTTTTGAGGAGTTTTCAGCAACCTTATGAGTAGTGCATTACAAAGGCCTGCAGTACTTTTGTGCAAACTGTTATTGGGTCTGATGACCATCGCCCTGTGTGATGTTTCCACTGTGTGGTTGTCCGTCAAATTATCTCACTGTTATCTTGCCCTAATCTCGATTGTGATTGAGTGTAAACAGCCGACCTGTTATGTTGCTTTTTTGTGCTTGTTGAGCCTCCATAGTCAAGTGTTACTAAGCTTCTAGGCGCAACGATATTATATGTTTCTCCAATGAGAATGAAGTGAAAATGGCGCGAGTAGTCGAGACCAACATACAGGAGAATTCGGTTTGATGTACGGCCCCTTAAACTAGTAATGTTGGATTTGTGAGGGGGATGGTCACCAGTCATCATGTTTCGTAGGAGAGTAGCAAATCGTCCCACAACCTCCTTTAGATGGCAGACTACAGCTACACTGAACCCTAGCGCTCATTACATGGAACGTGCCGGAGCTCCCAGACTGAATTCTAGAAGCGATGTAACGAACATTTCAGCTTGCTACTGAGGGCCACTCATCGACCCTGCTGGGTATCTCTGAGTCCGTTGTACAATCACACGCGGCTTTCAAGTTGGATCTCAACCCAGCTGGAGGATACCGTTACTGGGACCGGAGCTGGATCTCACTCGGTGCGAACCAAACACGTGACCGCAATAATGGCGGGAGATATTTGTTAAGCATACTCATTTTCTCACAGGAGCTGGTCGACGAGAAGTGAGGTGAATATATATGGTTGTTTCTGGCGACAGATTCTAAGCTACGCTTCAGGTTAAAAAGTTAGACAATGGCTTGGAACAAGAAAGGGTGTACACCACAGTGTCAAGGAAATAGGAATACTTCCCAGAGACTTCTGGTCGCCGGAACTTATTAGGCACAGGAATGATGGGAGAAGAGTGGAAGCAACAGCATCTAGACTGGCTTACATGGGAAAAAACTCCCATAATCTGAAGAGTAATGACTTGGGGGAGAAAAAACATGGTATTCGTAAGAGTGACAGGTGATTTCTGCAAAGTTTTTGAATAAGTAACCCAGGTATACCCGATAGTACACGTCACTCCCTGTTGTCCATGAACTAGGACAGTTTCAAAAAAATTGTGGATTTTCTAGCACATAGAAGAACCTAACAAAGTGTATATTGCTTGATCAACTTTCGAAGGCCGCTAAAAGATTGTAATTTTTTCTCCAGGAATGGAAAATTTAACAGCCCGCGAGCTTGGGACAACCTTGAGTCATCCATGCAGCTTTGCTATCTAGCTACTCACAAACAAATAAGTAGTTTGTTCTTTAAGGCGCCCGGAGCCAGCCATCGGGGAGAATTCCACCCGATGTTCCGTAAGCGGCTCTTGTAACTATACAGATCAAGATGAACAAAGTTGGATATGTTTTAACGAAAACTAGCTATCGCTTCAGTCAGTTAAAATGCAGCCGACAGCCAAGGAATAGGCGTGATTTATAAAAGTTAAACGACTGGCGAAACTCTGGTCACAGCCACTCGGAACAGGTGAGTGGTCGTGTATGAAATACGCTCACGGAACCTGTCGGCCAGTGACAGGGGTTGTGCAGAACGGTCCCATTTACGCAGGATTGGATCCTATTGTTCCACAGCTGACCAGGCACGATAAAGCGAATACACTTTCAACTTACAGGCCGCATCCGATGCTCCTCAGATTTATTTGAACCGAGCTGTTGCTGTCCAAGTAAACGTCTATCTGATTCACTTGGTGCTTCATGTGTTGATAGAATTGACGAAACCGCAGGTATCTCATCTCTGGATCATACGAAAGCAGTTGAAAGCCTTTAACGAGACGAAAACTGGGACTGAACATGATGTGGTTCGGTTGATCTGAAAGTGTACCGTCGACCGGATACAGTTTATGGGACCGAGTAGCTGAAAAGCTACCATCCCCTCACTGACAGTGGTGTGATCCAAAAGTCCCCATTCTTGCTAACTGAATGTCTTTTTCTGATTCTCAAATTTAACTTGTGTCCTGGTTATTCTATCGGTTGCATTTCAAGATTGTAAACAGCCTCGAAGAAACCTTTGAGGTGGTTTCGGAAGTGGTATAGACCCCTAAGAGATTTTAGTGTGACGAGGATAATGTTTCAATGATTCTAGACAAGTCCCGTAAACATTTACTGTTCTCCCAAAAGCTAATGTCCTGAAATAACGGATAGTAAATAAAGATCCTAAACGAGAGATTCAGCTGGGTTCCAGGTGAGTCTTCCACAAAACCAAATTTGTTTGCAAATGAGTGTAGTTCGCTAATTTCGTGCAATTTGTTTTCAGATAGAACATAGGGTTGATGGAAACTCGGGGACTGCACCACGCTGATGAGCCCCAAGAAGGGAGAACGCTGATGAGCCCCAAGAATGGCGACACCGGTCATGGGCTGTCGAGGAGTTTTCAGCAACTTCATGAGCAGTGTATTACTTCTATACTTGATGGTAACTTTTTCCAGGAAACTCAGCTGGTCTCCCAAAGTCCCACGAATATCCCTTAACTCACTCGGACTGAAGATGTTCTCAGTGCCACAGAACTATGGTCTCATGTAGAAGGAATTTTGTTTTAATACTGAGTGAACGTAGAGCTTCGTTGAATGCAGCGGAACCTCGAGGACTGTCCTTGTTAACTTTCTGGTCAGATGATGCTTGCTACTATAATCAACAATCTCCGTAGTGCACTTCGTTTGACCCCCTTCCTGTTCGTAAAACATGACTCCGCACAGAAAGTTCCCACAAATCTACTTATACAGTCATCCGCACATCAGTTTAGTTTCGACGGAGCACTCACCTGGAACGTAGCTGAATCTCTCGTTTTTCATGATTTCCTTACTTGATGAACCTGAAGCAGAGTGAAAACGGTCGTGGGCCGTCGAAGTATTCTCACCAACCTTATGAGTAATGTATTATGTCTCCCGTGGTTCTGTTCTCACTCATATGGCTCGCTGTCTCGTTGGTATTCGTTTCATGGAAAACCATCAGCTGCCAAAGATTCAAGACAGAATAATACTCCCATTCCAAACATCTTTATGTATATCTCAGTTTTTCAAAGTTACAAATAGGAACCATTGAACTCGTTGTGATCTTGTAAGTCAAAGATTAATTCTCAATTGTCCTCCTTGATTTGACGAGCTTCAACAGATTGTAGCATGTTCCACAAGAGCACATGTGGAGCGAATAGATGCGAAAGTTGGTATTTAAGATCAACATCGACTCAGTGGTAAAGATCAGACGTCATTCGGCAACACCTGTTAGTCTTTGGGTTGCTCTGTTGACATCCGAAGGACAGTAACTGGCGTATATTCACGGCAGGTCTCCGTGTGTTCATCACAGAACGCTAGTAAATCCGGACACACTAGTTGAAAAAGCCCTGGGTAGTCTAGACACGATTACTTCAATCATTTTAGTGGAGATAAAGCTTCTGATCAAGGAAACGGCGAAACAGGAGCAGGATCAAGTTCCGTTCATGTGACATGCAAACTGGCTCTGTTAGACTGCTCATCCTTTGGTATATGGGAAGCTTTTCAAGAGAAATTCTTTATCAAGGTTATTGTCAAAACAATGTTTGGCAGCACTCGGCTTTTCGGTGCATTTGCGTAATGAAAAGTTGGTTTACGAAACCGTCAGTTGTCACGCAGGTAGGTTCAACTATCATCGGGAAGGCATAGCAACCGAACGAGTAAGTTGATCACATCTTTGCCGAGCACATCCAAACCGGAGGGTCAGGACTGAAATGGATTTCATCGCACCCGAGTTATAGACCAATCAAAATTCGTGTTTTCTTTTTGTGGAACGCTCTTGTTCACACAGAACACCTTGTCTAGTTTCAACAGTAAATCGGTTCGCAGATGGTGAGGCAACCGACTCCCTTATTTTATGTTTATATTCCGTACATCCAATCAGAAAACGTCTAGAGGGTTCCGAGTGTCCATAGTGCTATGCGACTGCGAAGTACTGGCAGGCGGATCAGTCGATCGACATAACCATAACGGTTACTCGGTCGCCATTCGAGATGTTGGATGAAGCCAATCGGATCGCCCTGTTCAAACGAGTGAATTCAGCACACTTTATTGAAGCAGTGGCTACGCGGTCGCCTCGCACGTCAGACTTCCGGGGTCCAAGCCGGGTTACTGCCAAGGGTATGCACTGCTGATGAGCTTCAGTAAGAACGAAACTCGATTGAGAGAATACCTGTATCATGGGTACACCAAGTGAAGTTTTGTACACTGGGAAGGATTGGTGGCGGGATCCATGAAACGAAAGTTGAGTCGATTATTTCATGTCTGTCATTCACATATAGTTGTCCTAAAACGGTCGGAACGCGTACGGACTTTGACTAAAAGTTCACCTATGTTACGAAAGCGTTCTAATAGGCGTTTACATTCGATGTTTGATGATGACACACTTGTTTGCGGGGCAATCTCCAACGGCTTATTGACCCAGTCATCTAACAGATGGATGTCCACGATATCATGTTGACGAACAACCTGTGACAGGTTGTCACTGAATACCTCTGACAGACATCCAGATATTTTGTTCATAGTCACACCACTCTCGTATGAACGGCCGTCTTCCTGTTCTAGCGCAATTATTTCGGTAAGTCCACGCACCAAAGGGAATTACTGGACTCGAGTTTCGTTCTTGTTAGAGCTCATCAGCAGTGCATATCCAGTGGCCGTGCCTGGTTTCGAACCCCGGACATCTGACATGCGAAGCGAGCGTGTAACCACTACTCCACCAACGCACGTTGGACGCATCTGAATTTTCACGTCTGAACAGGCGAACGTAATCACACTTGAGTGATGTGATTGGTGTGCCCGACTATGAACAAAATACCTATCCCGCAAAACCCGAAATTGCAACATCTAAATATCTTGGAATCGGCTTTACTATTCCATTGAAGGTCAACTTAAAATGGACTCACAAGTTGTTGGGAAAACTAAGACACACAGAGAAGTACTCGGACAGCTACGCAAATGAACTCAGAAATCGCGTTTCACGGAATGACTTTGAGACCTTGGTAATGGTTTGTCACGTGTCAGACAAGAGAATGAAGGAATGCGAGACGTTTCATTTCGCTTCACAACAAAGTTATGGTGTTGTATTTTTTCGTGCAAAGCGTCTTTGTGTGGATCCTGCTTGCAGGAAGGTTCACAAAATGCTCGGTGATTTCTCTTTGGATAGAAGGCCGGTGAGACCAGTGGAAACCGACCGCATCTGTTAAATTACTTTCTAAACGGGATTTCACCTAGTTTATCACAAACAAAATGACGACATCCAACGATATTTCTTCATTATTCGGTCTTTTCTGGAGTTTACTAACTTCGATTAAAACGCTTCGCAACGAAGTAGCCCGCGCAAAATAAAATAAATGTGAAAATTCGCACTTGTTTCACACGGCTGAATGGTATTTGGAATTATCAGCAGTGCGCACCTCACGAACCTCAGGAGAGATTCGAACTCACAGCCTCCATGCTGGTAGGATGACCGGTGCGAGTAATCATGGCCCAACAGCTTCATTTTCAGCTACTTATCCCGCACCTCACAACCTCAGGAGAGATTCGAACTCACAGCCTCCATGCTGGTAGGATGACCGGTGCGAGTAATCATGGCCCAACAGCTTCATTTTCAGCTATTTATCCGGAGGTTGCAAATTTGAATCTCTTTGATGAGATACGTACTACTGACAATCCCCAATAAGGATGAAACTGCCATACAGTCTTTCTCAGATTTTTGGGCATAAAATGACTTCCCCGATTGATTTTCATTGATTTTTCTTTGCAGGTTAAATGTGTGAATCTGTACGAGCACACAAAATAACACTTTTGAGAATTTCGTGTTACATTGCGAACATGGTACAAATGGGATTCGGTTACTTGTGACTTGATTGCCCGTATAGACGCACCTCGGCCGGTACGATAGAAGTGTATCTGTAGAGTGCTACTGATTGTTGATATACTACTGGCTTTTCTCTCTATGAATGATTTTCAGACCATCACATGCGGGTCACACTTATGCATCTATACAAAAGTAAAAGTGAAAAATCCGGTGAATTCTTCCTCTTTACACTGCGACCAAAGCTATCCGACGTTACGGGACTTGCGTGCTATTCATCTTCTGTGCGAAACTATTGGATTCTCTGACTTTTTCATCTTCTTCCCACACACGATGATTCCGGTCAGAACGTCCTGGCCTACCGGTTCTTACGTTCCGTTCTTACGTTCTCCATTTCCGGAGCATTTGCCCCCCCCCAAAAAAACCACAAAGTTCTACACACCCACTTGCCATTACATCGTCCAACCAAATCCAGTCTCGTAAAAGAGTTTCTCGTATTTTCTGCATCACTGTGCATGTCCACAGAGTCGTACACAGACGAACTGTCTTTAGGGAAGCGCGTTTCGGACAGAGTGGGTTTCCTTTATTTCAAAGAAACGTCCTTTTAATGTACGTAAAAAAAACCGGAGGTAGCAAACGTGGAACCACACCAACCGTAAGTCAGTCAGTTTCCGCTAGAACGAGGAGGAAATCGTCTGTGAGATGGGCCAAAATTGTCCACTCATGCGGCGATTTATTGTGAATTTAGCTTTTTTCAACGGACACATCATAAACGCCTTCAACCATTCGCTTTTCCCCAACATTCATAATCAGGAGTGATGAGAAAACGTATGCAAATCAAGCGTTAGGCTGAAAAAAACCAACCAGCAACCAGTGCTTTAGAAACTCATGCATTTTCAACTATTCTACTTTAGTTCCTTAGATGTCCAGTATAATTCGAAAAGTAACATTGGTCAAGGACATCAGACCGCGATCTTGACTGTAACCACTCCGATCAGATCATTCGATTTCCCACCCCTGACTGATAACGATTGGCAATTTTTCAAATGTTTCTCACAGGCGTTCACCCCTGATATCACTTTGTTTGTTCTTATGAGTTGCCTGAATACCCCATTCACTAATTATATGGATACAATAGTATTAGGGGAACGTAACGGGACTGCATAACTGCCAATGGAATAAGAGTTTTTCGTTGAAACAGATTTCATTGGTTGTTCTTCACTCGCCCTTGACAGATGAGTTGTATTCTTAGTAGCACTTTTTGACTGCTTGTACGCGACAGTGATCAATAGAGCAGCTGGCCCGCACGTTAGTTGACTTTTTCTGGTTTGGTCAATCGCATCAGGCGATCAGGCGGTAATAAGGAGGCATTAAGTGACTGTAGTCCACAAAAAATAAAAGCTAGATTTTCTCATGCACCAACATGATCTTCTCAATCGAATCTAAGCTGTACATTGACCAGTACAACAGTGTATACTACTGATGAAACATGTGAGTAGTGTCTGTTCTGGTGTTCAAGCTCCGCTTCAGCGTATGATGGAAGGTGAAAGTTAGTAGGGAGATTAATGAACCGTTTTGCAACGTTCGTTCACTGTTGTTTAGTATTCGAAAAACATTCAAAAAAGTTCAAGAAGATCCGTGAGAATGTTCACTTTTCGAAAATTCTGTACGGATGAAATATTTACTTTCGTGTTTTTACCGGTAGATTCAATAGTTTTACGGGTTCTTCACGTAGTCGCGGAGTAGCATAGGTATCTGACTCAGTGGTCAGCTAACCCTCGGGGAGGACGCGACTCCAACGGGATCGTTCACGAATCCGGTATCGTCGCGCGAGACCTCAAGGTTGAAATTGTTCCTAATGCAGCTGAATAGTTTGCAGACCGGTCTTGTTTGCGGTCATGAATCAGCTCGACAAAACTTGCGGACCATCCAGAGATACCAAGAAAAGTACTACGACAGAAGTGCACAGGATAGGTTGTTCAAACCTGGCGACAGGGTCTTGTTGTATGAAACTGCTCCACCCAGTGGCATACCGGCTAAGTTCCATAGGGTATGGAAGGGACCGTATACGATGAAGCAGGCCCTTACCAACGTAACCGACCGCCTTATTCAGTCTGGGTAACCTATCTGGTCAACCGTAGCGCATGTCAGTCGTCTCAATTCAACAAACGTGATATCCGACAGCGCTGTGGACGGAGCCTTGCTGAGAGGGGGGGATGTAATGTGCTAACAGATGTCAAAACGTGCACCATCGTTAACTACAATCCATTTTGTCTACTTTCAGAAGCAGTGGAGGTAATGAAATTAGGGTATGAAGACGTTCTTGACTATCATCCAGAGGAGATCGAGAGCCCTTCACAATAACTAACAGCCTTTGTATGCTTATATGTTTGTGCCCCGCATTCTGCTCTTGTCAACCCTCGATTCCGCGTGTTCCGGGGCTCGGAGAACAAACTGATAAACCTATATTCTGGTGCCGCTTTGTGGACGGTTGGTGAGAGCTACCAACTTACTGACACATCCATCCAACACAGCTCTACACGGCTGCTATCCTCAGAACATCCTCATAGTGAGGTTGGATAAGTTCAAACGCGCAGGCATATTACATAGCAAAGTCCAGAGTTAAAATTTAACCAGATACGAGGAATAGAGCTTGAAAATTCGCGTCAAGGCATCAGGATAGAGTACAGGGTTTATGTATGATGGAGATTCTTCCAGTAACACTTTAAATGTCTATCTCAGAATGACATATTGACCGTGAAGCTATTGAATGTAGCTGAAGTCGACGATCAGGAACGGCCATGTTGATTATCCTCCTTCAAAAACAGCAAATACAAACCAAACGTTTGCTTCCGCTTAGCCTGACGTCACACATTATTCTTTGGATACGGTCGATAATGAACTGAAAATGCAATTCTCTAGTTCTCTTTCTCTAGTTTCTTTCAGTGAAAAAAACACGGTGGTTTCGACCACCTTCTGGAGTGCTCCTGTCAGCGTCCGCTAACTCATCATCATCATCACCATCATCATCATCATCATCATCATCATCATCATCATCATCATCATCATCATCATCATCATCATCATCATCATCATAATCATCATCCTCATCATCGACAGTATGACATCAATGTTCAACACTGATGCTCCACTGCCGTACAACGAAGATTTATTTGAAGGCTTTATTGTAAAGAAAAGAGTAAAGGTGGACAGGGAAGGAATTTAGTGCTAGCTTACCACAATCATTACGAGGTACCTATACCTCCAGGCATTTACTCAGGCGATAGGAATAGAATCTGAAACAAGAACGCCACTGACGTCGACTGTCAGCCATATCTTGTAGTGTCTCCAACCTGGCACAGCGGTCCCCATCCTGGAAGGCAAGTAGCACTGACACCATTCAAGCGTTTCCTGATCTCCTTCAAACACCTCTGCCAAGTGCACGGTTGACCACTCTGAGTTGGGCATGGAAAACAGCACTCTCTTCAGCAAACAATGGTTTGGCAAACTACTGCAATACCCCTTCAGAGAAGACCCCAGAGGACGCAGTATTAGTCAACATTTCTTGAGTTTTGCGGTCATTAGTTGAGTTCACCTAAATGGACAAAACTTGAGTAAAACTTCAGTAAAAAAATTCAGGAAACAAGGTCATTGTTGTTTACCATCGGACGAGAAAGAGCTCTAATCGAAAAAAATCCTCGAAGAAGTGCCCATTTTTTGCTGATTATTGTGCAAAAAGACCCTGTATTTTGATGCATGCAAAAAACAAAGAGGATACTTTTGGAAGCTCCAAATTTTCGAGGCGCTTTGCTTATTGCCAGCGTCTCAGGAAAGTTCCATAGCGCTTCCGAGTTGTAGGCCACGGCAAACAAAGCCCTGTACCAGTACTGGTGATACTAGCATACTTCTTTTTGAATCTGCATTCTCGCAAAGTGAGTTCCGCGCCTCATTGCCTTCTAGTACAGCCGGTCCACCCACAATTCCCCAATGGGTGCGCTTAGGAACAAGTATTTGTCCGTACACTAGTACTCGTGTGGTCTGTTCACATGACCAATGGTCACACAGACCAACCGATCGTAACGCACGAATTTCGGACATCTTGGCCAAGTTGGTCTTCTATTCAAGTGCAAGCGCTTTCATTTGCAGTGACCTGTGGAAGTAACTTCTCCGAGAGAGAGAGGGAGAGAGAAAAAAACGATTACGGTGAATGATCTTTCTTATTTGGACGGTTCGTGGATAATCTGGCGAGCATACAAGGTATTCTGGCTCGTGTCGGAGGTGTGTGAAAGGCAGAAGTAAGATTGGGGACCGTTTGAAGTAAACCAAATCAATAAATATCTTTGCGTCCCAAAAGGCAACATAGCAAAAGCTTGCCAACAGGTTAGTTTCCGGTTGAACTGAGTAGTGGTGAAACAGGTAAAAAGCAGAGGAGAGCAAGTTTGTACACAATTTTAGACCCAGGTTGTTGGGTGGGTTATCATGTAGGATAGCCATGTTCTTTGCGCCGGTTACTCGGATTGATCCACGATTGTGGACTGAGGTGTTTCGGATTGGGTCTCACTGCCTTGTTTGACACCCAGGAATCTGCATCGTCGGTTTTCGGTACTCCCTCGATTTGTGAGCAACAGGCCAGTTTTCGAGCCAACGATTCAAGCTGAATCGGACCTACGGACGACTTTTCCATATCCTGGTTTATGACCGGTTGTCCAAACTCAGAGGAGGATGGAATTTTCACATTTGGCTGCATTCTATTCTGGGTGGTGATGACACGTTTGGAAACGGGTTGGATATTTTGGTGTGGTCCAGCCAATGGGAAATCAGATCTATTTTGTTCGGCAGTCGTGTTACTCCGATGCACAGACTGAGCAGTTTTTGGCTTGGGTGAGTTTCCCACAAGAAGGAAGGTGTTGTGTGCATCCGTATTGATCTTATTGCCAGTTTCAGAGATGTCCGGCTGCGGAGATTTTTTGGAAACTTTTTTGGCTTTGCGACTGCCCAGACCAAACATACCGGCCAGAGTGGATTTGGCAGAGGATGAGGCTGGTTTCGTTTGGTTTGGTGACTGTCCGGCTCTAGATGACTGTGAGATTGGTTGTGGGGAGCATTCATCTGTCTGTGGACGTTCAGAATCCTCTTTAGTGGCTATATTCCGTTCACTTACGTGAGTGCTCCGGTCTCTTCGTTTGGTTGGACTGATCACACCATGCTCTGGCAACGGAGGAGGATGCAGAGGTCGTGGCTCAGTTGTTGACATTAGTGCACCAGCTTGGGTTGCAGCGGAGTGCGTTCGAAGAACGTGATTAGATGTCACTTGTCCATGTGGACTACATGTCACGTGATGTGACGTATACTCAGGCTGCATGTGCTGATGAAGCGGATAGGAGATGAGATCAGGATAGAATTGCGCCAGATTCGCACTACCTGAAGTGACATGTACGCTGAACTGCTGTCCCGGTGGAGCTTGATTCAGTCGAGTTTCCGGTGTTAGCGGTTTGCTCAAGTGGCTGGGAAATGCTTTTTGCATTGTGGGAAGAGAAGGGAAAAATATTTGGTTCTGAGTAAAACAAGAAAATATCGAATTCTCTGCTTAGTTGTGCACAGCGGAGACTAGTTAACAGAAACAGACAGCCTTGAAGGGTCAGATATTTTATTCACTGTTTTTAGGCCTTAAATAAAAAGCCCAGATACAACAATGCTCTGTGTCCAGGTAATTTAAAGTCCGGAGGAATATTCAATAAAAAAACTTGGATGAACAGACAGCCTTGAAGGTGTCAGATATTTTACTCACTGTTTTTAGGCCTTAACTAAAAAGCCCAGATACAACATTGCTCTGTGTCCATGTAATTTAAAGTTCGGAGGAATATTCAATAAAAAAACTTGGATGCTCAGCGATGCCATAGGATGCTGGATGTCAGACTAAGGCACTTCAATGAACTATATTCACGTGGTGGTAGTTGAGGACGACTCGTGTACCACAGGGTCCGTCAGAGATGTTTAACCGCCTTTCTCCGCGATGAAGCAGGTTTCCCCGCCGTTCGAAAATGAACTGGGGAGCGAGAGGAAGAAACCGTGTTTTCCAGATTCGGCTTACAAACCATTGGAAGTAGCTGAATGATCCGGACTCCGTAGAGTGGTTGGACTCTTCATCAGATCTAAAGCTCTGATAGTTTTTTTTAATCGGAGCTGCACCAGCGCTGTTCCATCTTTCAGTAGGGTCCTTTAATTAATATCATGTTTTGAGTGGGTGTGTTTCAAAGTTATCCTCACCTTAACAAAATCTTTATATTATGAGGCGTGTTAACCCAAAACTTAGGGAAGATTTCTCGACAAATACACTCGTTCGCATATCAACCGGGTCCAATTTGGGTTCAGGAAGAACATGAGGTTGACGGAAACTTGGGAACTCCGCTTATTTGATGAGTCCCACGTAGGTTGAAACGGGTCGTAGGCTGTCGAACAGTTTCCAGCAGACTTGTTAGTAGTTTCCTCTAGAAAAGATTTCTCCTGTTATGACCATCAGCCTTAGTTTGCAGACGAAAGAACAGTAAACAGGTGTGTGTAGATAAATGGAGTCTTGACGGAAAACCCTGGTATCTAAAGTCCAAAATCGTCATCACGTGAAAACAAGTAATAGTTACTTTCCTCTGGAGGAACCCGTTAATGGGACCAAAATCGAACAACTATCATATCGTCCCCCAAGAATGAGGGCCTTTGCTCTCGGTAGCTGCAAACGGGTTTGTAATCAGGAGTTTGTTCTGTGAAAGGATTCAAGACATACGCTGGTGAGATCAATAGCCGTCGAAGCTTTAGCCGCTCATGCGTTCTCCGGCGCAGGAATCTACGTTATCCATCTCGAAAAATGCAAACAGGCCGGCCGTTCACCATTAGTTTGCATGCAGGAGTCTGTTACACACTGCCGTGTAAAACGATCGAATGAAGCACGCGATGGGCATGCTTTTATGTTCTGAAAGGTCCGTAATGCAAAATGCGGGTTGTGTGGTGTAATTAATTCACGTAAAGACCTTCGTGTATTCATTACATGGCCCAAGCATGAACACGTTCGGCTGTTCATACGTGATAATTCATATGCGTCCGTTTCGCGCTGTTGGAGTAGTGGTAAGGAGTTTGCCTGGTATGTCCGGAGTTCAAACCCAGACATGCACTGCCGATGAGCTCTAATCAGACTGAAACTCGCGTCCAGTCCCCCACCCACTTCTGTGCGGATTCATGAGAACAACTGCTGCAGGACTGGTGCAGGACTGTTAAAACTGGAGTGATATGGGTTCGAATGCTACAAATCGCGCAACCACCATTCCGTAATTCAAAGGGCGAAAAGAGCCCATTCGCTGTGACGTTACTTAACTACGCAAAATCTTCCGCTGCCCTACGACCAATCCGATTTGGGGAGCTCACAGACAATTCTCAAGCATCATTGGTTCATTCGAGCCAATCACGTGAGTTGCCTTAGACTCAACGATTGTCAAGTAGAAAAAATCAATTGAAATATGGTCGAGATCGACATTAACGGGATATTCAGCTCAGTTGCTGGATGGGACTGCGGTGTTACTCATTTTTAGACGTTGAATGTGATTGCTTGTTAGTCTTTTAAGGAAGAAGCACGTGATGCCACAGTGCGCTTCGAAATATGACGCTTGGAAAAAGCAGAGTGAGTTGTAACACCTACTGGGGAAGCACGAAGGAGGGTACGATGGGTCGAAAATTAGTTTATGCCTCGGAACTGCACAAAACCTACTTACCTCTTGCTTCAAATTGTGATGTGGCTACTTGACTGTTGTCGATTTTATACCGTCCAGGCTTACTCGATTTCGAACGAACATATCGAATGTTTCCCTCTAGAGGACTGCATGTTGCTGAAGTGTGATTGGCTCCAATCGGCTGCGTTCTCATTTGTCCGTAGTGAACGTGATTGGTGCCGAGGTTTTGTGGAAGGCAGTTCATCATCACACCTTGCTGTTGATACTCCATAGGGTGTACCGATCTGCTTCTTACATCCATAGCGAAGCGATGAGCATTGTCCGATTGCCAGGGCCCCGTAGTCCAGAGAGGAGCTTGATGACTGTCAAAAGTATTGACCACTTGACCTACCGATAGGGATGGCCCAACACTCGTTCCTCCAACAGATGAGTCATAGCTACCTGGGACTCGGTCGTAGAATAAATGTGATTGGTTGAAATTTTGTTGCAGCATTTCGGACGTCCGGAGAGGTTCGTGAAGCTGGCGTGCAGTCACGAGAGGACCTGGTGGCTTGGCGTATGGATTTACGTCATCCATGTAGATTCCTGAATATAAAGCAGTACGAAAACTGATAACCTTGCGTCACTTGACATACTTTAATTATAAAACTACTATTCTGTCTTTTGTGGGGGGCAAACCTGTTGGCAGTGTGTATATATTCGTGTGTATATTCGCTAATTTCGTGCAATTTGGTTTCAAGTAGAACATAAGGTTGACGGAAACCCGGGGACTGCGCCTACCTGATGAGCCCCATAAAGGGCGAAAAATGGTCGTGGGCTGTCGACGAATTTTCAGCAACCTTATGAGTAGTACATTACACAGATATACATGTATCGGGATATCTCGAATATCATAGCGACTGAAACAGGAAACGGCCTGGTGCAGCACGTTCAACTGCCTTAAAACATCATAAACAAGAGATTCAGCTGGGTTCCAGGTGAGTTTCTCGAAAAACCAAATTAGTTTGCAAATGAGTGTATATGCTCTATTTGAGCCATTGTTTAAAACAGTGTCACTGCAAAGCGGTAGGGGAGTGTTGGATGCCAAGTTTGGCTAAGCCTTGAAGGCGAAAGCTTTGAAGCGGAAGCACCAAAGCTCAGGTGACAGGGCATGTTTTCCATCATCCTATTTGTTTTTTGTTCCGCCGCGGTGTCCCTAGACGGAGTGCCGACAGCTATTTATACATCTGAGTTCCCAGGGTAGTGATCCTATATCCTTCGGACTTTCGAGGCTTGCATCTCCAATCGATCTGCTGATGAAATTAACAAGAGTTATCAAAAGTCTGAATCACAAATTTATCACAGTTTTGTTTTTAATCGTTCTGTTTAATTTCGATACCGCGTACCAGCAGTTTTGGCCTACATTTTACAAGGATTTTCATGCGGCTGACAGGTTCTTGTAATTCTTCGAAATTTTTCTCAAAATCTTGGCTTTAAACATGTTTTCGTCACATATTTAAAATTACTCGTTCCCGAGGATTATTTAGGCAATGGTCTTTTGTCATAGGGAGTGCCACTTGCATGTCATGCTGAGTAAGAACATCACGTGTCCATGTGATACAAAAGAACCATCCCCGTCGCCAGCTGTTAAGAATTGCTGAACGGTCGTGCAACTATGTAACGATCCTTGGCTTCCTGCTCCACCCACTATCATATACCAGAAGGGACGGTAACTCTAGACAGCCCTTTAAGGAGAAAAAGAAAGATTATTAGAACTCTATTTATAGGGTAATCACAGAACGTCCCACAAGGCCAAGCTAGAACCTGCATGAGGGATGAGAAGCGTCGAGCTACCAATGCTCGATCCAGATCGGTTAATAATCTAACCAATCAGGGCATGCCTTCGTTTGGTCCGTAGCCCACACGTGACACATCCATCCAATTGACGTACTGTTTGTTTTTTGGGGGCGACTTCAATCGAGAACCGAAAAAATCGCTAAAGTTGATATCACCATGATTTATACCCATCCGGTTCATTCAGATACGCAAAATTCATCCTCAGATGTTAGAATAGTTTTCTTGCTCCCAGTGTGTATCGGTGTGAGAAGCAGATACTATATCGACATCCGGAATTCATTGCTCAGTTGCTACTTCCGATAAGAATGACCTCCACAGTTCAAAAAGCTATGATTACTGGGCACTTTTCTTACAGAACCGGTTGATAAAAGTCAACAAACCTTGAGGATTCTATCAATACCTTGAGGAAAAATAATTTTCATGCCCTTGTCTTTGTGTACCGAACAGTCACTAAACACTGCTTGATGACGAGATGCATTTTTCGGTAGAGAATGACGATGAGGGCAAAAGGGAGAAACCCCACAAGGCAATGCGGAGTCAGGTCTTATCACTTTGTGTTATTTAAATTTAGGGACATTTTTCTAGGACTTTGGGGGTAGTTGCACACCAGATTGAAAAACCTTCCTCTAAAGCGTCTTTACACAACTTAAGACCGAAAGAAGACGGGAAGACTGCTATTGGTCGTGTTTTGGATACCATGGTTAGGTAGGGCGGATACTATATTAAGTTATTTCTGTGCCTGATTTAACCACCTAGGCTCGGGTGGCACGATGTGGTTGGTCACGCATAATAACTTAGTTTCACGGTTGCGAAAATGAGTCTCTAGCATACTCACCGGCCTTGCCTCTAGGTTGTTGATCGGGAAGTAACATGGTGGATGGCGTTTGTTGCGTGGGAGATGCCGAGGCTCTCGTTTGGTCCGACATCAGTTTCATTGGTCTGGATGTCGGTTGCGACTGAACAGCGTTGATACCCATATCATTCGGATGCTGAAGAGTGATGTCCGGATCTATAGGATCAGAATGGCCTCCACCCGGGAACCAATTAGATGAGCCCATTCCATAGTTTTGCTCAAGCATTTCACAGATTTCGAAATGGCATGCTTTCAACGCGACTCGATAAGGAGTTCGACCATGACTGTCTGCTTGAAACGGATTTGCACCAGCCTATACGGTAAAAAATATCCCGAAACCGTGTCAGTGAACAGTTTTTACGCAGAAAATCTTTGAAAGTTTGAGGAGAATAGATTGGTCACCTCAATGACTGAGTGAAATTATGCTTCCAAACGATAAACGTGCCAAAAAGGGGCACTTACGTGAACGGTTTAAGGATAATTCGATGTCAACTTAGGGGCGCTGCTGTCAGTATACAGTCTAAGTAAAACACGTGTACGGAAACATTGGGTATACAAGTCTGAGTCCTTGAGAAACGATGCATTCCAGTACTACTCATGAGTATATATCCACGTAACGATTAAGGAGAGGTTCGTTTTTTCCCAAGAACTGAAACAAGTCAGTTTTCCAAAACCGATGGAAAGCAAGTTTTACCGAGTGTTTGACCCCGAATTCACTAATGTTTACCGGAATGAAAGTTTGAGGAGAATAGATTGGTCACCTCAATGACTGAGTGAAATTATGCTTCCAAACGATAAACGTGCCAAAAAGGGGCACTTACGTGAACGGTTTAAGGATAATTCGATGTCAACTTAGGGGCGCTGCTGTCAGTATACAGTCTAAGTAAAACACGTGTACGGAAACATTGGGTATACAAGTCTGAGTCCTTGAGAAACGATGCATTCCAGTACTACTCATGAGTATATATCCACGCAACGATTAAGGAGAGGTTCGTTTTTTCCCAAGAACTGAAACAAGTCAGTTTTTCAAAACCGGTGGGAAAGCAAATTTACCGAGTGTTTGACCCCGAATTCACTAATGTTTACCGGAATTAAGGAAAAGAGGAGAAAAAGTTTAAAATAATTTTACCGATGACCCCGAATTCACTAATGTTTACCGGAATTAAGGAAAAGAGGAAAAAAAGTTTAAAATAATTTTGCACACACATCTGTCCTGACCGTTTCAGTACCTGTAGGCGATCCAGCACGTGATGAACGACGTTCATCATTTTGGTGAAAGTTTCGCTTTGGGCACACAAGGCTCGCCAGGCAAAGTGACAAGGTTGATTACGTTTCAAGGTAGAAGAAAAACTAATCACCAAGACTGCTTCCCGCCAGCAAAAGGAATCAGCGTCACGTGTCGGCAAAGAGATTTTGTGTGCTGGTACTGGCTGCCGAGTTTTAAGAATGGTGGGTCTGGAGGACCGGGTCTAGGGACTCAGCGCACTTCACTTGATGATTCCTCTTCAATGTAATTTATGTTAATTTCTGTGGATACGTTAGGGTTACGAAGAGGTTACCAAGAAAATTTGGGTGGGGTGGGAACCTCCAATATTTCTGCTAATGTTTCCCCTGGATTGACAACCACACACCACCAGGTTTCAACGCGGTGCTTCTGAAACATCCACGACTTCGCCAGCTGTTTGCTCTCTATTCACTGCACTCTGGGAGGTATAGCAGTGTCCCTCGGGCTCGGCAGTCCGCCACTGTTGCGTGAACCGTAAATCCTTCATGTATGTTCTGTGTCTGGCGCATGTCAAAGGAGAAACATCGCCCAGTAACAATTCTACAGACCGTTCTGCGAATTTCACTGAAATGATAACTTGCACATCGACTGCAAGCGTTTTCCACCAGATTGAGTGATATTCAGCTTAGCATAATGAGGAAACGATAAACGATAAAACGACAGATTTAGTTGAGTTTCCAGCAAAAACCCAGTTGATATTCAAATGAGTGTCGGAACCAGTCAAGCAGAACATAAGGTTGACGAAAACTTGGGGACTGCGCTCCCCTGCTGAGCCCCAATTTGGGCGAAACCGGTCGTGGGCTCCCGAAGAGTTTTCAGCAATTTTGTGAGTAGTTTCCTTTATGAAAGTATAATGCGATATCTGGAATATCATAGACGGCCTTGGTGCAATACGATCAGCTGAAGAAATTCACCAACCAGAGATCAAGTTGTCTCCAGTAAAAACCCAGTTGAGGTGCCAACCAGTGTATTTGTCAAAATCAGCCCAATTCGGGTTCAAGTAGATCATAAGATCGAAGAAGAGCGAAGCCGAATGTGGGCTATCGAAGAGCTCTCAGCGAGCTTGTAACTGGTTTCCTTTATAAAAGTACTCGTAGTTGGGAAAGTGTGTTTTCTATACCTTTATAACTGGCCTAAAACAGGGGCACTATCAAGTCGGTTTTTTGTTGACGACTGTGATTCGTGAACCGAGACAGTGGGGGGACCTCCACACACCTAGAGAAGGGTCACGTACCCGAACAGTAGTCGTCTCGTATTTTTCCACTGCACTTTGGAACACAATCTAAGAACGAGTTGGCGAAATTTGATAGACCACTCCAAAAGGTTAAGCGGGGTTAATCCGGTGGCTGGTACGGTTCAGGTCATGGAAGCTATTTGGACTTTCAGACTAATAGAGAATAGCCAGTAGCCTTTGGAAACGAGCAGGTCGTTTGATATACAATCTGAATATCTAAAGTGAATCGATGGACATCACACTAAATTAACGCTGATTCTCAGATCCCTTGGTAGCCGACACTTTTATTTCTTATTATATCAACTTACCTAATAAAGGTGTCGACCTACTTGGAATTTTTAAGTAGTAGAGCGTTGAGGGAACTCTTCCGGCTAATAGTCATCAAAACGGACTGAATTTTCCACCGCCTGCGATCACAGTGAATGCATGGTATAACAACGGCTGTGGTTACCCGTTTGGCACTAGGGTTTTGGAACCAAAATGAGGAGAATTGAACAGTCGGCTTTCTGGAATTCAGAAGTAACTCGTTCACATAAAGGAAACTACTCACAAGGTTGCTGAAAACTCCTCGACAGTCCACGAACGGTTTCGCCCTTCTTGGGGCTCATCAGGTAGGCGCAGTCCCGAGTTTTAAGTAGATCATAAGGTTGACGGAAACTCCGGGACTGCGCCTACCTGATGAGCACCAATTTGGGCAAAACCGGTCGTGGGCTGTCGAAGAGTTTNGAGATTCAGTTGAGTCTCTCATGAAAACCAAATTGATGTGCAAATGAGTGTATTTCTCGATAACTCGTTCACGTTAAATCGACAGTTGGATTTAGAGTGCCGAACACAGAAAAGGTTATCTTTAGACGGAGTTTTATTTGACGTCAACTCAACGAGCCACGACAAACTGGTGCAGAAGACAATCGATTCGTTTTTAGTGTTGCGGGCAGGCATTTTTATCAGTGGTCTGTAGAAAACTGACTTGAAACTACGAGATAATTTGCATCTTGGCTGAGTTTTTTGATTCACTCTGTAATCAGGTGTTGCGTTTGGTGAGAAGAGAGGATTTTCCAAGTTTCTTTCATAGTTGATTTGTCCATAACTGGAAAAACTTGTTCAAGCCTGTTTTCAAGGCTGTTGGATGCCTGAAAGTTGTATCAAATTTCCGCCACTGGTCGTTGTGGTGTTGACCGCTTGATAGCTCCGATAGAAAGGTAAATCAATGTCGAAAGATTGAAGTATCGATGGGAAACTGACATATTCAGGAAACACGCTCTAAGTGGAGTGACCTTTAGGGGTTAGTTCTAAAAATTCTGGGCCAATCAAACTGTCAAAGCTACAGTTTGGAAACTCGAAGCCGCCCTTTCGGAATTGGCCAGTTAAACCAGGCCTTGTGGAGTATATTCAACGAGTCATGAAAGGTTGGTAGTAGTGTCAGGGGATATGGCAAGTTTCAATTCATGTTTCGTCCAATCTATGCTGAACAGCGTAGGAACACCGTACAGCGGTTTCATCCTATTTGGGAGTAAGCAAGTGCACAGCTCACGAAACCGGAGTAAGAAATTTCGACCAATCAGCTAGCAGTTCGAACAATTTACCATTCGACCACAAGCAGCTGTGAAGCATTGTGATTAAATCTCACTTAAAGAGGCTGTGACCATTCAACCTTCCATCACGGAGTCTAGATCACGTGGTCGTACTTGTTGTGACGACTTCTCAGGTGAAAGTTTCACTTGTCTCGTGACATTATTGGTTTCACTCACTTGACGAGAAATCAAATGTCCGCATACTACCAACCAACATTAAGTTCACTAGATGATTGAAACTTCCAACTTAGAAGTAATTACTCGAGAAGTAAGTGAGCGGATGACCACATGATGTGGTCTCTATGATTGAAGGATGAGCGATGCTATATGCAGTCTAAGAGCAAGCTAATCGAGGTCGCACGGTTGTGTTCAACCGCTGACCGGAAGATCGGGGTTCGAAACCCTCTGGAGATCCGCGACGAGCCCTGCTGACTAGTCTCAACGAGGTTTAATCTGTTGTACATTGCTTCGTGGTCTTCAGCACAGATTAGCTTTACTTACAGAACGAAACTCCAACGGACACTTGGTTAAAGACCCTGAAAATATTGTCTTAGTTACTCAACAGCAGAACTAGTGAACTAAAACAAAGAAGGAAAGTCATCTTTCCAGAGTATTCAAGAAGAATAACCATCCGAAGAACGTTGTAGAGAAGCTTATGTAAGAATAAGACAACAATTCCAAATTTTCAGACGTTAGTTCAACTTTACATCAAGAATATATTTGAACTCCCTGCAAGATAACTATGTGAAAAAGGAACATCTTTGCTCCTCAAACCGACCGCTCCCTTAGGGATAGTGATTTCAGGACTCACAGGTGTGGAACTCACAGGGTACCAGAACCAAGCTCACCTGAAAACAGATCAAAGAACGCAACTAGGAGAGTCCGAGCTGAGTCACGTGGATGCCGACCATTAACGATACAGAGAAACGGACCGACCGATAGAATCGTTTCCCCAGACAACCAGTCGTAATCTCCGGGCTAGCTCCTCGCACACTTCACCAATCAACGCACCAATGATGTCACCCTGATTGGAGGTGAAACCTGCAACTAAATTGCCTTGCTCGATGAGCAAAGAAACGACCGTCTACTCTACCTGAGCAAGCACGTACGTCAATGTGTACACTTGCAGACCATGAAAAAGCCATGTTAATTTGTAATTATCGAGAACATTCCGGTTTCCTCCGGAATATTTTATGTTCGTATTTTCCCGATCAACACCTTTACCGTGTTTTGTTCGCAAAATGTGATCTTTTTGTAAAACAAAAAGTTTCCGAATACTAAGGAAACGACTCACTTGTAGAAGCACTGTACACACCTCCAAGTGGCCTTCCTGTGCTGCAATACAAAGGGAAGTAGCGCCTTGACTACACACAGCATCCACCCGGGCGTTTCCTTCGTTCAGAAGTACCTGACATATTGAGGTATGTCCCTGCCAAGCCGCAAGCTGCAAAGGAGTTCGTCCCTCTCTATCCCGAATATCGACCGGAGTCCCTGCCTGAAGGCGAGGTAAACGTAGGTGGAATAATGGAAAAACCAAAATACGGGGGAAATGGAACTGAGTTGAAACAAATTTCCCAGAAGTGCGATGTTCCTAGGGTGTAGACGTATTACACTATCCAGAAGGCTTGTGGAAATTTCTCGACAGCCGACGGCCGATTTCGCTTTTCTTCAAACTCACCTTGTAGCTCCCGAGTTTCCGTCAACCTTATGTTCTACTTGAACCCAAATAGCACGAAATTAGCGAAATACACTCACTTGGGAACTAATTTGGTTTCTCGAGAGACACACCTGGAACCCAGCTGAATCCTTCGTTTGTGATGTTTCCAGGCAACTGAATGTACTTTACCGGGCCGTCTCATATTTCACTCACTACGATATTCGAGATATCACGATATTTTAGTTGAGTTCCAGATGAGTTCCCCACAAAAACAAATCGCCAAGTTCATGCAGTTTGGGTTCAAGTAGATAATAAGTTTGACGGAAACTCGCAGACTACGCCTACCTGATGAGCTCCAAGAAGGGTGAAAATGGTCGTGAGTTGTCGAAGAATTTTCAGCAACCTTATGAGTAGTAAGTGCATTACGAATATACATGCATCGCGATATCTCGAATATCGTACCAACTGAAACATGCGAAGGCCTGTTGCAGCACATTAGTTGCTTGGAAACATCGTAACCGAGAGATTCAGCTGGTTTCCAGGTGAGTCTCCTGCAAAATCAAACTGGTTTGCAAATGAATGCATTTCGCTAAATTCTTAGGGTGTAGTTATTGGCTCCTGAGTGACACACTAACCTTTTTCTAAGACGAAGTTGTCTGGAGAAAGGGTCACTCCCCTGGAGAGGTAGTAACCTTCAACAACTATTCCGTGGTTGGGGTTGGGGGGTGGGATTCTCCCTGATCCGGAAACCACGAATTTGACACTGTCACATTTTGAACAAAAACTCGAGTGACCATTTTTCATAAGAACGTGACTTGAACGGACCTTGTTGCAGTTTTGAGTAGTGGAACCAACACACACGAAAGGCAGCAGACATTCCGATGGTACGACCCAGATTTCAGTTTTTCTTAGAGGACAAAAGAACAAGATTTCTGTTCGTGTCATTTCATGTAAAGAATCTTCGCCACAGTGCATCTGCTGCCCGGCTGTTTTTGGTATAAATTTCAGAAGAACTAAACACAAAACGAATCAAACGATGGGATTTACTAGGACTTTCAATCGTATCACACTTTGGGTGAATCTGCTGTATTTTCTGATCTTTTCTGCCTTGGTGCTCACGATGTATGGTTTAGACAATAGTTGAGGTGATACAGGAAAGACATTTCTCTGAGAATTGCCATACACCAAAAGCAAATTTAAGCAGGTCCGTGCCATCAGCAAGGGAACAAAATGTGGTATACAGACTTCACAGCGAATGCAACGGAGAACTACTCTGAGAACAGGTTAGAGGCAGGGAAAAGCTCGTATCTAATCTAGCATCGCTCGCGAATGTACTAACAAACCCTGATCTTCCAATATCGTGCATACACATTTGGTGAGTTGTCAGCGCTTTGGGTAGTTGGCTAAAACGTACTTTATTAAAAATCATTCCCTCAAGTGTTGGCCGCATCAATCAGGATTGTAGCTCTTGTTTCGTTTAGTTACATCCCGAAAAGAACACAAGTGGGTCACATTAACCTGACGAGTCCATCGGACGAATTGCGATCTTGCGCATCTCTACAACGACTGAGCCAGTGAAGAGAAAGCGAGTGAATCTAGCTCACCTGTGTCAATTCATCCAGTAAGTGTGAATTCGTTACGTTCATAGAGAAACAGGGAAACTTTAGTTGGACAACGGCAGAAACGCGGAGCACAGGTAGCAAACACTCTAGGGTCACAAGAGCACCAGAGCACATAATGACTCAAAAATCAGGTGTCATACACGCAGATACCACAGTCGCTTCGATCTGGACTCATTATCACAATCAATGAGAAAGATTCAAAAACAAAAAAAGGTAATTCTAAGTGGTTGGACAAACCCGTTTGCGGGAGAGTAAACTGATTATCCTGGCTATGGTAACTTCTACTTTTCTCTCCACAGTAATTTGCAACTGAGTATAGTTCGCCAGCTGTGTACAATCTGGTTTTCAAGCGGGATATAAGGTTTGTGGATATCCAGAGAATATGGCTACCTGATGATGTCGGTAAAGGGCGAAACCGGTAGGGTTTTAAGCGGAATGTTGCTGGGGAGTCGGACATGTTTACTTGCGCTTGCTTTTTGTGCCACTTAGAGTTTCGGGAGAAGAACCATCCCGGATTCAAAGCTCTCTGAATGTCACCCCTCTCTAATTCATCACTATTTTAGCAGTGCACAGTATCGTGTCCATTCTTCTGTGAAATATCGCAAGAAAATCTTAAACTCATGGGTCAAACTCCACTTGGCGTTTTACGATGGACACATTTGGGAGGTCGGATCATTCCGGTAGGCACTGATATGTGGTAAGAGTGAACCGTGACCGCCCAATAAAAAAAACAGTCAGACCAACTGAGTACTGTTTCAGAGTTTTAGTCTGACTTTTCCAGTGTTGAATCCTATTCACTGTGGTCGACGCCGCCGGTTTGTTCAACTGTCTTAGGGACATCAAACCCACACTCCTGGATTACTCTCGTTTTTTATTGTAAATTTTTCCTCACTTTCGACGCACTCCCAACGCCGTGAGTTACGACCCCACCCACCTAAGCGCCTCCGCATACCTACCTCTCGCCATACTTGAACGTTCAAAAAACGGCCTGCCAGCGCACACTCGTGCGCGCATAAGCCAAACAAGGTAACTGTCGTTGTTTTCAGTTACGGAAATGCGTTGGAATGCGCTGCGCAGAGCCATCCTGCCTACTAACTTTGCACAGTTTTTGGTACACCGGTCTGCATTTACACAATCGATAAGTAGACAGAACCATCACTTTGCCTGCCTACCGACATGAACCGTTTAACCAATCCGTCTTCAGCCCAGTTTGTCTCTATTCAATCGTTCACCATGCGTCCGTTGTGCAGTAGCTGCACCGTGCTTCTCAGCTTTTTCGGAGTAGGTTAACTCCAACTACAAGAGGCGATCTACATTGAAAAACCTCTATTAACTTAAAGAGATCTGTTCCATATTGCCGGTTTCAACATTCATGGTCTTTGTCGAATTGGACAACACGCAGGTTTTGCTCATACCTTGTTTTTTATTGACGTATGTTGTGTCTCCGACCCAAGTCCGGTCGAGAATAACTCAGATTCTCCACATTAGCTCTTTATGTGTCTGGTCATGATGATGCAATGGCCTGTGGTATGTGCTCAGACCCAGAACTGAACGGGATCCCAGGATTTCGCTATTCGGTCAAGTGGCCTAACTAAACTTGATACATCTCGTCGCGGCGAACAGCGTTTGATCGCTCTACCAGCGAAGATCCCCACAAACGACAGCTGCACGGTCGAGATAATTGGCTTCTCTCGAGATTTATCTCAGGTGTTTCGGTCTCTTCGTGCTTATAGCAGGTGATATAAATCTCCGGGTTGGTTGACTAATTCCCGAAGACGTTCATCTTAAAGTGCGATTCGGGGAATATAAACATCACCTAGGTAGTGGGGAGCGACTTTTTCACTTATCTGCTGAGTATCATCTGTTTTCAGTCACCCCAAACTTTCAGCAGAAATGATCATGCCTTGTTACCTGGAAGCCAGCAGTTACAAACCAGCGGTGGACTCGGGTGGACTACTTGGTAATCAGCTACCGTTGAAGACTTTCGATAAAACATTACCGCTTACTCTGAAGTATACAACACCAGTCTGACTACCCCATTATGCGGGCGCACTTTCTCTAGAGAACAGTCCGGTTGAGGCAGAGCCACTAAGTTTGTCGCCAGCAAAGCGTCTTTGTGGCTCAACAACACCGTACTGAGCTAACTGAGAAGTTTCTAGAAGTTGACGGGCACAGTGGTGGAAATGTGATTCGGAGAACGGCGATTGGAGAAAGGTAAAAGAAGCCATGCATACACAACCCTCACAATCAGCAACTTTCAGTGATGCCAAGGTGACTAAGCCGGAAATAAACGATGATGCGCGCAGAGCTTTCGAACGCTGAATGCCAGAGTGCCTAAGGACTGACAGGGAGCGTTATAGGATAGTCAAGGTCGGGGAATGGAGGAATATTTTGCAGTCGAAAACAGTTGAACCTTGATGCGTAGACTTTACATTAGCATAGGTTATCAAGCGATGAGCATTGATTTGTGACCTCGAGATGGCTCAGCGGCTAAGGCGCATGCTTACTGACCTGAAGTTCCGTTGTTCGAAACCAACCTCGATGGTATCTCAGCCATCCTGCTTCCTTTCAGTGAGGTTATCAAGCGATGAGCATTGATTTGTGATCTGGAGATGGCCCAGCGGCTAAGGCGCACGCTTAATGACCGGAAGTTCTGTTGTTCGAACCAAACCCGATACCCCGAATGCTCCGGTCGAGGTTTGGGAATATCAGCCATCCTGCTTCCTTTCAGTGGCATGGCTCTGTGTGACATACTCTCACATATGCGAATGTAGAATTAGTAATTTTGCTTTAAAACTCAGCGAGATGTTGAAAGGTGGGCAGTATTTGCACATTTTAGCTGAAAGCTTGAGTTTACTCATGGTTATAGGACCACACACGCCAACTCGAGCGATGGAGGCATCTCAGCTAAACCCTGAATCCCATTTCCGCCGTTGTCGTCTGCGAGAAATCGTTCCGCCAGTTCTTTAAGTTAGGCTTTTTCAGCACCAATCACTGCTAAAATGTCTGTCGGTTGGTACGAAGCAGTGGACGATACGTGTACACACCAAAAAGACTCATCTATTTGGTTCAAACCAGAATCTCTCTGGACTGGATAACCTCTCTCGCCACCAAAGAATACCCAGCACTTGTCGGATGTTTATCCCAAACTTTGCCTCATTAGGGCTGTAGTTTGTGTGACATAGGTACTGTGACTGAGTCATGTCTATCTGCGGC